AATTATTGAAATTGGATTTATAAGTATTTTACTTTTTGTTATTTGAATTTTTAATTGTTAATGAATATTCCTCACTCATAAGAAGAACAAAGTGAAAGAGTCTTTGTTACTGTTATTACTAATTATATTATCTTTAGTTCTAAGAAGCTTTACGCTAGTATAGAATTCTCCTTCAAATCTTTTTTATTATTCCTTTATTCTCTTTTCTCTTTGACCTTTACTCTCACACAACTCTCTCATATTATTATTTCTTTTTAGATAAACACAATTTCCGTAGAAATTGTCATAGACCTTAGAAATCTCTTTTCTCTCTTAAAATTTTCTTTATTAGTTTATATCCTCTCCCAATCCAGGTTCTCATTTGTAAGCTAATTTAACGATTAGTGAACAAACTTGTAATAATAAATTAAATAGATAAATAATAAATAGATCAATTATATGCATTATCATTTATTTTTTCTTTGAAGTTTACTACAGATACAAATTTGACTTTAAAATTTTTTGTCCATTAGTTTTTCAAAATATATATTTATTTAACAAAAAATAATTTTTTTATCAAATCTCAGCACAATATGTATTTCTTGATCTATAGATTCTATTAGAATTATATTATACTCTTTGATATAGTATAGATGAGAGCAACTGTACTTTTCTGACTCATTTGGCACAATATCATATCAATGAACTATAGCAAAATTATATGGATCTTTTGCTGATTCTCAAAAAAACTATAGAAAAAGCAGTACTTTTTGGAAGAAAATACGAAGGTTAATTCATTCAAAAATTGCTAAATTTGAAATTACATTTTACTATTCTTCAAAAGTTGTATTTATCTTTTTGTATCAAGCATCTTCATTTAATCTATAATAGCCTTGGTTTTCAGCTAAAATTACTGTAACATTACTGAATCACTCTTTGTTATGAAAACTTTCAAATATTCTCAGAATTTTATTACTTTCCAAATGAACTGCTGTTATGATTCAGAATTATTCCTAATTCCTTAATTTCTTAATTCTGATCATGTGACTAAATATAGATTGTAAAGATAGCAGGATAGCAGAGTTCTTAGACATATCAACATTATCTGCTATATCATATTTATCTAATATATAAATTTATCTAACATGTATAATATATCACACATTGTAATAACTTAATCATAAATTATTTTATATAAATAAAGAATCTTTTGAATAAATCCAAAAGGTATTAATTGATCAATACAAAATCTAGCTAGTTAATAAACTGCTTCTTGTTTATTGTTTAATAAAATTATATATTAATTGATTTTATAATTATTAATTTTGTTATAACACTTACTTTATATACTACTGGACACTCAACCAGATTACTATAGAATATCAGTACTGTATTGCTATAGAACTATCACCACATTAAGTAAATACACAGAAAGATATTTATTAGTAGTAGTGTTACCTATTCTAAATTAATAGAATAGAAGAAGTCACATAGTGTCATGATCCTAAAGCAACTGGATCATACTATAAACTTACTGAGATAGATGTTGGTTGAACATCCACATCACAAGATTACTTACTTGAGCCTGGAACTCATGACACTGCATCATAAACCTTTATACAAAAGTCTTCACTTTCAGACTCTTGTGATGATATATTGAGAAACGTGTTTAAAGTATTCTTCACGGTGAACAAATCCAAAACAAAAAAAAATGTAATTGAAAGACAAAAATGAATTATGACTGTTTTTAATGATCAAACAAATAAATCGCTCAGTAATGGATTACCTTCGTGAAATTGCATAAAATATTTACTTATAACTGTCTTAATAGTAAAAATAGATTTCAAAATATTGAATCCTTTAGTAGTATCTTGTTTCTCTGCTTTGTTCATAAGCATTTTTCGTGATCACAATGGAATGCCTTAGTTTGATGAATCATTTCTCCATGCACATTTATCCTTAAAAATTTAATATCGATATGTCAAATTATTATCGTTATTATATTTTGCAGATCGCAGCGTTAAGGTAAAAAATACTAACGCTAACGTCATAATAAACGTTCTTTAGAATTATTCTATAATTGAGATGGCCACTCGTTTGGTACATTCTACAATTTTACCGAACAGCATTGATTCACTTTCCACTAAAAATTCTTCGTCACCTTATTCGAGTTGTGGTCAAAAATATTTTGTACAAATGGGCAAAAACACACGAAAAACACCACTCCCAATTACTCGCACCAGACATGTTCAAAATCCAGAAAATAGTTTTTAAAACTTTGGTTTACAACAAAAAAAGGATGATTATATAATGATATTCCTGAAGAAATATTTTCGCGTAAAAAAATGAAACACAGTAAAGTGAAAATACTTTGGGAATTTCACATCATCATAGTTTTTACAGAATAGAAATTGTCAAAAATTGAAAGAATATTTTTTTTATATATGTTGAATTTTCAGTCAAGTTTCTTATTTTTTAATAATTCGAGGGATCCCAGTTCCATTCACCGCTAAATATAATTTGTGGTACTCCCTTTAAAGGATATTTAAGTCAAATATCTGTCTTTTTATTTGTAAAACAAGATTAGATATCAGATTTTGTCTAATCAAAAAGATATGCAACAGATTACGTACCATTATTATCAATAAGAAAAAGTTTAACGAATATTGTACAAATTTGCGTAGCTTTATGTTCTCTTAGTTTTAGCTTTTAAAAAAAGTTTTTGTAATCATTACAAATTTCCCCTAAATTCAAACGGAATGATTTAATCTTCACCCGCATAAGAATAACATTCATTTTCACAGCGTTCATTTTTAAGCTAGCCGCCTAATTAATTTTGTATGGTGGGTGCATAATATCTACGTATACGTACTCATCAAACAATTTAATGTAACTTTTGAACTCTATCTAGTCTTTCAAATTTGATAATTTAACAAACTAAACCATAAAAATGATAGATTAGGTCAAGCTTTATCACTTTTACATCTTACTTTTTTTGTTTGCATAATTTTTATTAGTTATAAAGGTTTAAAATTATGTATTTTATTAATAATTCGGACCTAACTGTAATTTTGTTGATCTTTATAATCCTGACCAAAATTAACGTTAACGTTAAGCATAATCTAGGCAATAAACGCAATCGGCCAATCAAATACTAGATTTCAGATGACGTAATGTACTTTGAAAATTTTGAATGAACAACATTTGCGTTAGAATTTAATTTTTCTGGGACAAGTTGGTAGATCGGTAACATAATGTTAAAGGTTGATTTTAAAGATTAGGATTAGGATTAGTGTTAGTGTTAGGTTTGAGGTTAAGATTATATGTAAAACTGTCTATCCGACATTTTTTATTAGTGCTTCAAACTAGATTTAAGCATGCGTTTCTTGTATTTTTCACATTTTTCATTTCTTTGTGTCGTATTTGTTTTTAAACTTTGCGCATTCTTATTGGTTTGTATTACCCGGCATTTTATTAAACTTGTCCCAACATTATCTTTGTTGCGCACCATATAAATAATAGAAAATGTTCTCGGGTAATAGTAAATGCAAATGTTTTATCGTTATCGTTATCGCTATCGTTATAATTATTAATCTTAATGCTAATGTTAATTTAGGACCTTCGTGTAATGAGTATAAATCGATTAACAGCATTGTAAAGCTGATTCGTTGTAATGTCTATCAATCTTTTTGCCCTTATTTTATCATTGAAAGCATCATTGTTTATGTGCTATTATTTCTATCAAATTAATCATCAACAAAGGTAAAATATATAAAGACAGTGTATTTGAAAATTTAATACCCTTATATAAAACAGACAAGAGGTAAAAGTTGCACCAAGTCAATATTTTTACTATTAGTATGACATTTATCGTAAATATTTCTATAGAATGCCACAATCAAATAGATTGAAACGTATCAAGACTTCTCAAGACCAAACTGAAATAAAAGATGCTGATCGAAGGATTTCGTCTTCGTCCGCGTACTATTTTTCTACAACTAACGGAGATGATGCTGACGTTTCACTAGACATCTTCCAATCTCCGAATTTACTGACTATTCCACCCGAGATTCTTATTCATATTTGCAAACATTTGCCACCCATCGATCTTCTCTCGTTGGCACGTGTTTGTAAACTATTTAATGAATACCTATGCACAGATGAATCAATCACTACCCAACATATCTGGCGAGAATCTCGATTGAATCACGTGAGATTTCTTCAGCTCCCACCGCCAGAAGGGATGAGTGAACTTCGGTATTGCCGATTAGTGCTCGAAAAAGGATGCCAACTATGTGGAACAAAGCTTACTAGAAAGGTGTACTGGGAATTTCAGGTTCGTTGTTGTACTCTTTGTTTCGACACAAATACACTGAGGTAAGAGATTTCTTTATAGAGAAAATATCTAAAATAATTTTCTATAAGCAAATCAATTTCTTTTCAAAAAATTAGTGAATGGGATGTTATTCATAAGGACCTCTGCAACGTCCGGATACAAGATATCTTGCCAGCTATTAAAAGAGCATCATACGCGCTCGATCGATTCTGGAAGCCCCATCTACAGACGCTCTACAAAGAATTTGAAACGATTCCTGAGGATAAACGATTGGACTGGTTGAAAGCGAAAAATGAAAAGCTATTGATATACAATAAAGATGTTTCTCAACGACAAAATGAAGAACGAAAAGAACGCGCCAATAGATATTTCGAGCACAAGAAACGATCAGAAGACCGTGCTAAATTCCTCCTAGCAAAATTTCAAGAAGATTTGGCAGCAGAAGTAAAGGAAGATGGCCAACCAGTCTACAAGGAATCCTACATTCGTGAATGTCCATCTTTCAAAAAAGCCTGCGTAGAAAACTCACGCCCATTCACTCAACGATGCTGGAAGAATTTGAAGCGAAAATTGCGAGAGGAGCATAAAGTAGTCGAAGCTAAAAAGATCGAGGAAGAAAATGAGAATCAAAAATGGCGAGCGCTTATGAGACGAATTCGACCATCATCTTAAATGATCAGGGGGTTGTTTTATCAAATAGATTACAACTGTATATTATTTAATAGAATTTTTTCATTTAGAAAAATAAGGGTATTAATACACTAATGTTGTATATAAAATCGACATTAACGTTAACATGTACATTTATAACTCTAATTTGATGGCTAATAGAAAAATTAAGGAAAGATTTTTGCTATTTATGAAAAAAGAAAGGATTGATGAATATATACTATCCCATAAGAATGGTTTTTCAGCATTGGAATATATACTATCTCATAGGAATGGCTTTCGGGAGGGTAAGAGGATTCGAACATTGCAATAATAAAATCTATCTAAATTTAATCCGTTAAAATGTGAAGTTTTGTTGAAATCGGAGGTTTGTTGTTGTAATTTCGAGATTTCAGATTCGAAGTCCGTTGTTCTTCTGTGACGTGAGTTTCCGTCGTATTGGTGGATACTGGCGATTTCTCTACAATAGCAGTCTTGTGATGATTACGATTATTTTCATTTTCATAGTCATCGTCATCGTGCTCATAATGTTTTTTCATTTGTCGCGGTTTATACATCATTATTACTTCATTATGCTCTTCCTCGCTTTCGTCTTTTCGCTTTTTACCCTTCAAGAAATTTTTTTGTTCTTCATTCGATAATTCTTCGAGTGTTTTTCCCTTCGTTTCCGGGATTAAGAATGTGAAAAGAAATCCGGTAAACATGAATGCCGCGAATATTAGTATGAGCCGATCAACCCTATATGTAAAGAGTGTAAATTATAATTGATGCTTTGTGTGTGTCCCCTCCATATATACGTACCACTTATTTGGTCCGCCCCGATCTTTGAGTTTTAAGAACCCAACTTGCCCGATAATTGCTCCAAATTTTCCCGATGCCGCAGCGATACCATGGCCCGTTGATCGATAACGAGTCGGAAATACTTCTCCGGGAACTATAAATGTTGTTGAATTTGGTCCGAAATTTTGAAAAAACTGTTGTTTATGTATAAGTGTATAAATGAAATGATATCAATTTAGATGCAGAAGATGAGACGAAATGAAAGAATAAAAGAAAAACAACAAAAGATACCTGCGCCGCCGAAAATAATATGATGAAAAACGTCGGCGATTGTTCCTTCAATACATTATATCTATATATATAACGCCAAATTCATGATTCAAAGTCTTATAAAATGTATAAATGTTAAGTAATTCATTATAACTACCCAAATCCAAGCACAATAAATATAACCGTCAAAATCGCAAAACCCATTAACTGGATAAATTTTCTTCCCAAGGTGTCAATTAAGAATACAGTGAACCAATATCCAGGCACAGTACCAAGCATAGTAATTATGATATTTCCAACAGCCACGTTCCATAGTATCTTAAATGGATCATCACTGGTGGCAAATCCGATTGCATTTAAAATAATGCCATTGTTCAATCCGATTCCATAAAATGCAATATCCAACACAAACCTAATTACATTAAAGATTAAGATAAGAAATAATTTTATGATAAAAAAGAGGTATTGTCACATTAATTACCAAGACACGCTTGTCCCAATTAAAACTTTTGCGTTTTTCCATTGTCCAAAATACGCTTTAAAGTTTTCCCAATTATGGGGCGGAGGTTTCGCGAACAGTCTCGGATCGTCTTGATACTCTTCGACGATGGAAGATTTTCTTGTGACGAATTGAATATCGTTTGCTGCTCTTCCAATATTTCCTTCAATATCCATCGTGTAACGTGGTGATTCCGGAATCGTCAGACGAAAATATAGTCCAATAAATGCAGGGATAATACCGATTATAGTAACTATACGCCATACATAATCTACATTCTGTTTATCATCTTGTATTGATGTTTTGTAAATTGATAGTATTAGGACTGAAAAAACTCCTGCTGATAGAATTCCAAAGCCTTGCATTGCAAATACGGCTGCCATCATTGCCCCTCGTCTAGCAGTAGTTGCAAACTCACTTGTTATTACTGAAGATAAAGTATAAATTAATTTTAATATAAATCCAAAGAATCTTCAAGTATCGTTAATAGATAATTAAGCGCGTACCAGCTGACATTGGATAATCTCCTCCTATTCCTATCCCAAGAAAAAATCTCCAAATAGTAATTGATCCATGAACAGATATAGTGTACGAAGTTCCCGATAAAGCTTGTCCAATAGTGCATATTATCATAATCAATAATTCAATTCCATACATCTATTCACAAAAAGTTATAACAAAATTAATTTTACGTTAGCTCTATAGATAAATAATTACTAATACAGTGTTTATTTACGACATGCCTGTTTTCGTCCGTATCGATCAGCCAAGACACCAAAAATTAATTGACCAAACAAAGTCCCGACAGCCGCTGAGACTTTTAATCCTAAATCTATTGTGGATGGAACTGAGTGATTTGTTCCATTACTAAAATAAGTGACGCCCAACATTGTTGAAACTAAATTTATTACAAATAAGTCGTATGCATCCGTGAAAAATCCAATACCGGCTACTATACATGTTCGAATATGAAACCAACTAAAATTTATGGTATCTATTTGATAGAGTGCTACAAGTCGTTTTTCGTCTACATCATTTTCAACTTCTGAATATGGTTGTTCCTCATAAATTAATTCTGTTTTAACGCTTGTTGACATATTTTCATTAATGCAAAATATACGAATCTCTTATAAAAAGGAATGAATGCTGTTGAAAATAAAGGTTAAAAGAGGTTAATGCTACTAAAGTCTCATCTGAAAGATCGCGAATAAAACGATCATACATGGTTACGCAAATTTGTGTAACCTTTCTTTCATCTGAATCGTTAAACTTTCCATTTATGTAACATTAACCTGTTATGTTACGTATCTTTTTTTACAGAGTAACAATAATGGTAACAAATAAGATCTGATATATCATCCATGTGCTATTTTGTTTACAAGCGATTATTCATCCTATCACTATGCTTCCTCGACTAACAATTGAGAATGTTTGTTCTGGGTTGGAAAATTCGTAAAAACTAATTAGTGTATTATACTGCATATAGTACATGTAACAAAATATTTACGAGTTGTTACGCACGATTGATGTTAAGACATTTTGTCATCGATCCACGTGATTAAAGAAAGATTTGAGTTGGGAAGTTAAACATATCGATATCTTTTCTTTGGTACATGTATATATAAAATGATAAATTAAAAGTCAATCAATTAATTTGTGCGTATTTGTACACTATAATGTTTATTGCACGTTTTCGAAGATAACACTGTTGTCAAATTTATGGCTGTTTTTACTTCATCCCTTTTTCTTGGCTAAAAATTCTTGTGCTTTTATTTATAAATGTTATTTTTACTATTACGTACGTACGTATTCTGCGAGTTTGTTGTAGATCTTCTACCTTTACAGCTTATACGGTAATGCTGATCAACGTACCTAAGAAAAAACGTCGAAAAAGAATTTTCATTGCTTAATTAAACTATAATTCTTAGCACTTTGGAATGTTCCGTGTAATATTATTTCTTTAAAGAAAGTTCATATTTTTTAAAAGAATATTCTGCAAGAAGTTTCCAGTGCTGACAAATTTTATGGTCATGACTTTTGGTCATAGGTCATATGAAATTTGGCATTTCAAGGTCATTTTGCCAACACTGAAAATTTCAGACGTTTTCAATCCGGAATTTTTAACCAGGAAATTTCTATACATGTGGTCAAAAATATTTTGGTCTTGACTCAATTAGCTGTGTCTACTGACTCAATTAGTTGCGTCAATGACTCAATACTTTTGACAACATGTATAAAAAGTTTATCAATTCGGTTGGAAGAATTCTGGCTCTTTACCACATTAATCTTGAAGTCTGGTTCTGACATCCAAGGTTCTGGATTTCCAGAATTTTTCCAACACAATACCGTAATTTGCTGCATAAATCACCCCTTTCATAGTAGACCCTCCCCTCTTTTTTTTTACCAATAATTATCTATTTTCTTGCTAATTAAATTTCTGGTGAAATGTAACAGACCCAGGGTGGTTTATGCGGCAAATTATGGTAGGGAAGCCTCGTAATTAGAAATTTCGGATTAAAAATGTCTGAGATTTTTACAGAGAAATTTGCTTAGCATTAAATTTACTAAATAACCTTATTTGGCTTTTCCAGAAAATGACCATAATAAAAATTCAAGCAAGAAAGAAATGCTCATTTTTTTATTTAAGAATGTTGAATATCACAGTCCAAAAGCATTTGCTAAGGGACGTGACAGATATCAGCTAACATTTTGGGGGGGGAGGGGAGGAAAAATCTCAGGTTCTATAAAATTTATTATTGTCACGTGTAAAAATATCTCAGGAGGGGCTTTATAATAAATGGATATTAGCTAAGATCTGGTACGTCCCTAATGTACTGAATTGTGGCTTAATAATGACGCTCATTCATGTGAATTCTCGATATCTAAAATAAATTCCGTTCGATATGGATTTACATCTACTAATAAATTTTTATACACTATAAAAAGAGTCACTATGTACTCTGTAAGAAACCCCCTGTCATTTTTTATTTGGTATTTTGTTTCGGATTTTCTAACAAAATTATAGAAATTTGTCAGATCTGCGATTTTATCCGACTTTTATTCTGGATCTTTTCGAATTTGGACTTATGTTTTCCTGAATTTTGTTTGAATAAAAAACAACAGTTATTTTACAGGGCTATTTATAGAAAATTCATAGAAATTAGTATTATTTATTTCATGGGCGTATCCAATTACAATGCAGATCACTTAGTTCTACACAAAAAGTGAATTTGAATTAGCTCTAAATTTTATCAGAATCCCTCCTTATAATTAAAAAATTAGATAATATGTAAATTAATAGTTCATTAACTCTTACTCTAATATTATATATTTTTTTAACCGGAAAATTCTAATTATTGAGTTAATATCTCTTAAAAATTAAGAATTTTTTATTAGTTTGAATATTTTTGGCTATATATTTGCTAATAATAACTATTATAAAGCATTGGATCCAGATACTTTAAAATTATATAGTAAATATTTTATATTAATAATAATGTAAAGAAATATTAGAATGTAAGAAATTATCAATTATATATTTGAATAAATATGACAGATTTTTTTTTCCTTCTTCTTTTGAATTTTAGTAAAAATTAGTGATTATTCATATTATAAATATATCTGATTTTGTATTGATATACAATTAAAAATTTAGTTAGTAATACAAGTTGTGGTAACTAAGTAATCTGAACTGTATGTTATTATAATTTAATATATGATTAACTTATTAGTATTGAAAAATTCAATTTTTAATTACACAAATAAATTAAATGTAATATTTTTAAAAGTTTATTAGTTTTATTATTTAGAACTAATAATTTATTTCTTTTTTATAGAATTTTCTAAGATATTTAATCTGAGTTTTATAGTGATATATAATATCTAAAGTTATTAAATATTTATATTTTATAAAATATATAAACTTCTCAACTAAAAAGCAAATACAAAATTTAATCCATAAATATATTTAGAAAGTAATTATTTTATCATATTCACAGATTAAATTTTGTATTACTTTTTAGTTGAAAAGCTTATACATTTTATAAAATAAAAATTTTTGATAATTTTAAATGTTATGCACTATAGTAAATAATATGATAAAACTAGCATATCTGAAAAAAATCAGATAATAATGAATTGAAATATCAAAAATTAAAATTCTATAAAAAATAATCTGGCAAAAATTTGACTTTTTAATTCTGAAAAATTACAAATTTAGTTATATAATTTCTATATTAAAATCTGATTAAAAATGGAAAAAATAAAAAATTTGTCTAATAACTTTGGAATATAATATCTTATAATTCACTAAACTAATTCAAATATATATACTATTTGATTTGCCAAAACTTAACAAATTGAATTAGTGAATTGTAAGATGTCATATTCCAAATTTACCAAATTAATTAATTTATTTTTCCCATTTTTAAAAATGGATTAATATTTTATGACTCACTTAACCAAATTAGATAAAAATAAGTGGAATTTGACTTAGTAAATTATGAAATATTATGCTTCAAATTAAGTGTTCCAAATTAAAACAAGATTTTTTTTCAAAAATCAGCAACATTGAAATATGATATCTTATGAATTACCAAATCATTTTTGTAAAAATTACTACTATTGAATTCACCAAAACTAGATAAATTTAATGAAAGTGTGTTTGGAAATAATCCATTCATTTTGATTTTAGCAAAGAAATTTTAAAAATTGATCCAGTAACTTTGGGACACGATATCTCATGATTCACCTTTTCAATCCAGACAAAAATGCACCATTCGATTCGTCAAGACTAGACGAACCGAATGGTATATTTTTGTCTGGATTGAAAAGGTGGATCATGAGATATCGCGTCCCCCGTTTTTTCATGTTTAATCAGATTTTAATCCGGAAATTTTATAACTAAACCTATGGTTTTCCGGAACTAAAAACCTGAATTTTTACCTTATTATTTTTTACAGGAAAGTTCCTAATATTTTCATTGAAAATTGTAGTAACATTAACATTAACATTACTTTTAATTTTTTTATAATAGGAATCGTAAGTATATACAGTACCGGACAGCAAAAGACAACTTTTTAAATGATGTCACAAAAAGTGTTATAACTTAAAAAGGAAAGACAATATAAAAAAATCCTCTTACAGATTAATAATTATTTGATAAAGCTATAATTCTGTTAAAATACTTTTGTAATTTTCTTTTCTTTCTTGAGATATAAATTTGTGAAATTACAATTTTGGCGTTTACTAATAAAAAATAATGAATTCTGATTGGTTAGATTATTATGTATAAAATAAATAATTTTGATTGATCAGATTGATTATTATGTATAAGATATACAATAAAAATTTGTCGTTATGGCGCAGTATTGGATGACTTTTGCTGTCATCCACTATAGCTAAAATGGGCGCCGTCCAACATCCCGACGACCACAATCCCGACATCCCATATGTCCGACAAACGAAATCCTGAAAATTTACCATCCCGAAAATTCAACTTCCCGAAACACCAACTTCCCGAAACACCAACTTCCCGAAACACCAACTTCCCGAACATCCAACATCCTGAAAAGATAACATCCCGAAAAGCCTACATCACGAATTCTCAACATCACGAACATTAACATCCTGACGGTTCAAACTCCCGAAATGTTAAAAAATGACAATTCAAAATTCCAACACATGAAATCTTGAAATTGCATATATATATACTATTTATATTATATGTCAAGAAAAAACGGCACCCGATTGGGATGTATATAAATATTTTAATAAAGTTGGATATGTTCAGTATATTGATAACACAAAAGTAGATCAGTGACCAATAAATTTTAAATGAATATTGTGACTTTTCAGGATTTTTAAGTGTCGGGATTTTGAATTTTAGGGATTTTGAACTGTCGGGATGTTAGTGTTCGGATATTGAGCATTCGGGATGTTGAGTGTTCGGGATGTAGGCTTTCAGGATGATGAATTTTCGGGATGTCGGATTTTCAGTAAGTTAGGTTTCGGGATGTTGAACTTTCGGGATTTCGTTTGTCGGACATATCAACTGTCGGGATTGTGGTTTTCGGGATGTCGTACCGGATCCAGCTAAAATAGAACGAAAGTATTAGTCAAATATTAATGTAAATAATAAGAGAAATTCAAATAGAATTAACAACCTTCCTAGTTCTTCAAGTATTTAAATGAAGATTCCTGGTCATAAGATCATTACAAATATAGTTAATCACGTGCGAAGAATTATGATGAAAGTATGGTGCACGCAGTCTAAAGACATCCAATACTTTGAACTGTAAAAGGAATTTTATTTTAAATATATAATCATTAAACAAATACATTATCAAATATTCTTTGATATAATTTATAACTTTATGTTTTTTTGTTTATTTTATTATAAAAATTATTTGTAGTAGGTTTTTTAACATCAATTTTGATAATAATAGAGATTTTCAGCACCTGAAATATCACGTGTATTATTTTTGATTGGCTGTATTTCATCATGTAAAATTACATGATCATTTTTCATGTATAATTCTAATTAGCATTGCATATAATAACTTATTTGGAAATGATAATTCTTAAAAAAATTCAGCAGTGGCGCAGTATTGATGCGACTAAGCTGCGCGCACCATAGTCATGATTATTTATATTTCGGAAAATTAAATGTTGGATGTACGTACTGCGGAACGGTTTGGTAAAAACCGTTACCGACCGATCGGTCGGTAATTTCACCAAGGTTATGTTTACCAATCAGTATCGGTAATATCCGACAGTGTAAATATCTAGCATAAATTTTTTACCTATAAGAAACCTTTTTTGTATATGTACATAAAATATTTATACATTTGGCTTAGCGTTAATTTCGGTGAATTCGTTCGGTTTCGGTTTGGTACCGAACCGTGCCGATCAATTCGGTTAGATACCGAATCGATCGAAGCCTTAACCTCAATCATGGCTCACAATATGCTATATATATATATATATCTAATTATCATATATTTATCTCTATAGTCACCCAATTGCATTTTCCAAGGATAATAACGAGAGGGATTTGATTGTATAATAAAGAGAATAATAATGTGATTTTTTTCCTCATTATATCAAGTAATTCAATTTACACAGTGAAATTGAATATTATAGCAAAGGAGTAAGGTAAACTTTTCTAAAAATTTGTTTATCCAGGATTTATTAGATTGTTATAGGCATAGCATATACAAATCTGTAAACAAAATTTGTAAAATAATTAAATAAGGAGTAATAAGAGATTTTATTTATCAGATTGAATGCCACAACTGAGATTTCTAAAACGTCAAAATCAATTCAAAGAATACTTTCGCAAGAGAAATCAGTGTTTAAACTAGTTTGTAGAAGACAAATAGTAAAATAAAAATGCTTTATCTAGTTCAAAAGCACAAATCCAAAATTAAATAATGCCTTTTATGATTCGAAATGCAAATCCAATAAAACGATATGCTTTTTGGACTAGGAAGCAACTACTCATAAGACAAAAACAAAAAGAAACTGGCTCGAAATTTAATAAAGTAACTTGACTGAACTTGTTTTAAATGAATAAAATCGATGCTTATAAGAAAAACTCAATGGATTGTTTTATAAATTCAAGTTTTTCTGAACTTCTTTATTAAACTCAAACTATTCATAATCAAGCTATTTATACAAGTCTCACTAATTCTACAAACATCATTTTGTATGATATGAAATAGTAAAATAATATATCAAATAAAATATCAAATATAAATATCAAATTAAATATTACAGGTAAATATTAACTAAAATATTAAATTTATATTAAATTTATAATTTCTGATAATTTTTCGAATTAAAGAAATTATATTATCACCAGTAAAAATACCAAATATCACTATATGCTGGAACGGAAAAAAAGATGTGATTATAAAGAGTGTGTGAATATCTAATTAATATAGTTATATATCTATCATAATAAAATCAGTTATCTAGTATTTGACAAAACCCGACCAAATTCCATTTGAGTTCCGATATATTGTCTAATTTATTCTATAATTTTATATAACGTACCCTTTTATTCCTATATGTTTTTTAAAGTTTTGTGGAATATAACTGATGATGGGATATATCTGAATATATAAAACACATATAAAAGGGAAATCCGCTCCAGCTCAACTGTGGGGTTTTAAATAAGAAGGGATATAACCCAGGTACGAATGTATTATATTATTCTTATATTTGATTTCTTATTATAAATTTAAATGCTGTTTTATGTAAACGAAATTATATTAATATTATATAATATAATCGCAAGTTAGCGACTTTTGTTCCCAGATCACTATATTGAAATCGCGCTCAATTTAGAGATATAGTATTCTCTCGATTTAGCATTTTAGCGGTATCTTGAACTTGATTATCGATTCATCGGTAATATTATTGTTATATTTTTATATTAAGAATTTACATAATACAACATACTCTATAATTTTATATAATATATTTACTTACTGTAAAGTTACATAATGTTTTATAATTTAAATGAAGTTAATAGATAATTCTTTGTGCAATTGTGTTCTTTACGTGTATTTAAGTGTTGTATAATCGCCATAAATAAGGCAAGTATTATTTTATACATGTGCAAACATGAGGAAAGCCCGATGAATTTCAATGAATTTAATATTACCATAATATACTATTTGTTTGGTTTACATCTGATCGGCTTATATTAATTATTTCTATTTCAAAGCAAGTCAAATCTTCTTATATATCGAGAAGCTGAATAATGCAAACCTGGAACTATAAAACGCGCGTCTATCAGTTAGTTGATACAGCAAAAGGAAAAAAATTTATCCTCGAATCCATTACCATCGTATAATCCAGCAATACCAAATAACTTTCTTTTTCTTCAGGCTCCTCTGTCCATTATAATCTACCTAACAATATCAATTCAATCATAAAATTGAGAAAGATATTTTTTGGCCGATATCATTATCGCCTTAAAAGTTCTATCGTGGCACATTTAACGTGCCAATTTCTCTTAACACTGTACGTATAGTATTATTATATTACATAAAAATTTTGTTTTACACGGAATAACCATTTTCAACCTAAATAATTTTCGGAAGTTATCTCATGCCCGTGATAGAAACGATACAAGTGTAAAGCCTTATAAATTTTCGCTTCAGCTGACAATTACATGCTATAAACTAAATATTTAGAACAGTGTATGTCATAGATAGAACACGTACTGTTCAAACTGTAATTCTATTGAAATAAAAAGAATATTAAGGACCTGAGATTCCAGGCGTACACCTGCATGTATCACAGGAGATGTGAGACACAACGGTACCGGATATTAGTTAATATTTGTCACACAATTATTCTGTAATAACGATAAATGCAATATGATTTATAAAAAATTTTCAGAAAACTTATGCATAGGGTAATTTCTTAAGTCAAACAATCATGCAACAGATTTTCTTCCGAAATTTAAATTAATTATTAAATGTGTGACTTCAGTCATACCTATAGTGCAACTATAGATCCATACATTATTGTAATCGATGTCCGATACCTCGGAATAACTTTTTCGCGTCAACTAATTATCGGTCTTGTCTGAAATTAAAATCGCAAATTGTTTCACGGGAAGGGCATTGTTAATGCATCTTAAGCATTTTAATATATGTGCTATCTACTTTTAGGGTCACTATAATTCCAATATTCAAAGCTTGTTTCTTTAACTTTTCTCAATATGGATAAGAAAACTCGTCAAGACAGCATGATTCAGTGCAGATCTAGCGGGAAAAAACTCGACTCTCGTTATCGTTATGTTATAGCGATAACCAAATTCAGACATATTTCCGAAAGAAGATTTGGTGTATCAATTTTTGTGCGTGAGAATGTTTGATGTCTTAACGTTGTTAATAAAGAATTTACTATAAATGTTTGCCGACGAAATTAGATACTGTATACAGTACATAGAAAAGCTTGTATCAATCATTTTACTTTAGACCTGGTCCGTGTAGTCCGGTTGTGCTACTAATTTGACCAAGTTGTCAGAATTTGCGAAAATTTTATAAATAAAGATTCATTAATTCAAACAATCCTCATACTTGACAGCATAATTACGGTCCATAACTACAAGACATTCCTTTAAAGAAGAAACTTACTCTATTTCCGATAACTTTAATATAGAATCGTGATGGGAAATAGTGTAAGTTTGCCTGTTTTTGGACCTAAGCAAAATGTCGACATAAAAGAACCATCAACTATCAACGCATTAAATAGAACATCATCTGCAAGACAGAAACTTAAGCACTGTATATTTCGTAATTCTACTGGAAGCAAAGATAATGTACGGTCACTTTTTATTACAAATTTGCGAGATTTATTGTTTATTTAACACACGTTTGAGAAATAAGCATTGGTTATTTTACAGCCTAATGAAGAAATCGACAGACTTCATTCACAACATTATCTTTATCGGTATGCTTGGGAGGTATGAAAATGAATATACTCGATGTTTGTGACAGATAATTTTAGGTTCTCATTAATCTAAATTAGCAAATTTCCAAATTTAAGAGTAATTTTTCTGCGCCGGTACGCGAAAGATTAATAGATGGCATATCTGTGCTTGATGTTGGGTAAATACAAAATCCTAACTAATTACTCTTCAAATGCTATTTAATTCACTTTTGTTTATGATTCCTAGGTGTGGGCCTGGAACTTGGCTGCTAGATATGGCTAGTACTTACCCTCAATCCAACTTTATGGGCATCGATCTGTTTCCACAATTTCCTTCAGAAATTAAGCCAAATAACTGTGATTTTCTAACAATTGACTTCTTGGAAGGCCTACCTTTCGGTAAGTCATGCAGATTTATTGTATAATTTGTAAAATTTTACCAGAATTAATTTTTTGTTTTTTTTTGCACTGAATAGATGATGGAAAATTCGACTTTGTACATATGCGATTTATAAATCACGTGTTTACCCAAAAAGAATGGAACGAACGAGTAATCAAAGAGTTAATAAGGTTAACGAAGCCTGGAGGATTTCTTGAATTAATGGATGTTCATGTACCTCATAAAGATCTTCCTCCTAAAGCGAACCTATTGTCTAACATACGTAAGTAAAATTTAGAAAACTTTAATAGATAACGATGATACACAAAGCTAATATGATCCAGTACGTATATTGCAATTTTTAAAGTGATAGCCGAAATGGATCGTACAAACATTTGGTGGGATGTCACTTCACATTTCGAGTCTCTTCTTTCCGCTCAGCAAGGTTTAGAAGGTGTTACATCCCAGAAAAAAGAGCACACATTAGGAGTCAAGGGTGCTCAAGATGGTATCTTATTTTTGGAGTTTTATACGCAATTTATGAAAATAGTTTATCCACAAATATCGAAGAGAACAAATATTGAACCGGAGGAATTCTATAATGAATTTATGCCTAAAGCTATTGAAGAATTCAATGCTAAAGAGTATAGTCCTCGTATTGTATCGGAAAGAGTCTTCGCACAAAAAACTGCTTAAATTTCATTTATGATATGCGAGTTTGTTATATAGAATATGAAAAATCTTGTATCTAATGATTTAAAACTACGTAGGTAAAAAATTATGAAAATCATTTTAATAGAAACACAAGATTTTAAATTACATGTACTGTATATCGATATCGATATGACCATTAATTTTAGATAAGCACCATCTTAAATTCTTTTATTTATCGTTATCGTTATCGTTATCGTTATCGTTATCGTTACCCTTAATTTAGTTTGATATTCTTATTGAAAAAAATCTTGTAATTCTTAATTGATACACAAATACACAAACCCTTAACGTGAACATGCACAAACAGAACGAAACAATTTTACGAATTTTTTTCTGACTGAATAATTTTTATCGAAATCAAATTTAGTATCCTTTTCTCGTGGAGGCCAATTTTTCTTGCACGTCTTTGATTAAAAATTCGCACTCTTCAACCAATGGCATTGACATTCCATAACTTCGCAATGCACGTTCATACCAATATGACGCAGTCTCTAAATCTTGTTCTACGCCGACGCCGAAATGATAGCATCGGCCTAATAATATTTTTGTCGTGCCGGAAACACAAGGCCAGCGAGTACATGTCTCGTAGAGGATTTGAAAAGCTTTAGCGTGATCCGGCTCGGTGCCGATACCATTCAAAAGGAAAAGTGCATATTGCGGCTTGGCTCCCCAATAAATATCGCTTTCACTGGCGTTCTTAAATAATGCTAGAGCTTCTTCATTTGACGCGGTTGTTCCTAGGCCACCGGCTTTGCAATTACCAGCAAGTTTCATGCCTTGTAGATCACCCAACTCGGCGAGCTGGACATAAATTGAGTATGCTTTTTCATTATCTCGTTGAGCGCCTATTCCATGTCGTAAACAGTAGGCATAATTAAACATTGCATCCCGATTTCTAAAGAATAAGATTGATTCAATAAACAGTTTTTATATATGCGTATGGATCGTAAGATCACATGATTCTCGTACCCTAGTTCTGCGGCTCTCTTGTAATAATTTAAAGCTCTTTCTTCGTCAACTTCTACTCCAACGCCTAAATGATAACATATTCCTAATTGATTTAAAGACGCAACCATTGGCTTCGGCTCGGCACTTAAATTTAAATATATTGAAACTGCATGTCTTTCATTCCTAAAATTAACATAATAAATTTTTGTCAATTTCAATAAAATTAATAATTTAAAGATAGTCAGAGAATTAACTGTACTTTTCGACACCAAATCCATGTTGCAAACAATAAGCTTGTTGGTGTTTTGCAGCTAAAGATCCGAGTTCCGAGGCAGCGGTAAATTTTGTGAATGCTAGTTCAGGTTTCCTTGGCGTTGCAAAATGGAGGAAAAAGTGCCCTTGTTGGTACAGTGATTCGGCTTGTTTGTCAAGTGAATCTAAAATAATTATTTTTGTCAAATTAACAACAGACGTATTGTATGAATATGATTATTTAATTACCTTGAGAATCTATAATTGTCGCTGACATATTCTAAATTCAATAAAATCATTTTGTTAGTAAAAAAAAAAAAAAAAAAGATAAAATATTGAATTTTACGGATCAATTACTTGAGAAGTATTTGCGGAAGACATAGATGAAATAGTCTCCCCCAAAGAATCAACCATCGAAAGAGCCAACGAGTCCAATGATGGACCTGCGGTGTTTCTTCGTCTATTTAGATGCTGCATAAAATGTAATCGTTGATAGCTAATTAGTTTTCGTTGCTTGTCTAATGGGTTCATTCCAATGAACAACTACAAAAGAATGTCGTATTTAGCTATTTAAATTTATATTAGCTATTATCTTTCTCGTTTGTCCTAATTGGGAATGGATGCGATGATAAAAAAGAATGGATAATTTAGCTTTATTCGATGATGTTTGACTGACTTCTGTTTCATAAAAACACAATATTAGATTGAACGTTCGCTTTTATCATATTTTAACGTTAGCATTTGGACATTGTGTTTCCAGCGATTATTAATTCAGGATCACTACAAGTATTTGCTAATTATGTAAGTTTCATTTCTCACCTGCACAGCAAAGATTAATTCACTCTTAATTGTTAAAAAAAAAAAACTTAAATATATTCAATCAATTGTTTACTTCATCTACGAAAGCCATATGATATGATTTTTTATAAATCCGGTTTAACAAATATTGATGCCATGCAAGAAGAGTCGTTTCGCAGTTCGATAAAAAAAAATCGCTTCGCAGTTCGACGACGACGAAACGGTCAGATGACTACAGATCATAGTTTGTTTAATTATTCCGCTTACGGAGAAAGTTGTGGTCCTTGCGTGTGAGTCTAACGCTAATCCACAAAAATCCTTAAAAAAATCTTGTGTGACCATAGATTACATGGTGTTTAGAATTTGATTTCAATTCCACGCATATCGATACGTACGTATGTTGATTGATTGATTTTTTATTCGATTGCTCCTCTACGAACGGATTTGATTCCACAATCCAACCAAAAATTGGGCCAAATTGGAAGTCAAATCAGCCCATGTGCATCGAGTAATAACCAACCAAAAGTTAAAGATAAAGTTAGATAAAAGCCAAGTGCATCTCTCCTAACAATGAGAAATACTATTAATATTAAAAGCTGAATATAAATAAGATTTTCAATCCTTAGAAAAATTTATTAAAGAGTAGGTCTGTTATTCAATTGCTATTTCACTCGCTTAATGCGAATAGCCTATTAATAGTTCAATGTTTGTGAACTTGAAGTTTTACGTGAATGATCTTTTATAATCAATTCGCTGCGTTGTATCACGATTCCAAACATATGTTTTAGTTGGAATAAATTCTAGATCGTTAACGTTATTATTGTTTGTAACCACGTAATGCATGTATTATTCCTTATATATGTAGTAGTTTTCTTGCATAAGGTAAATAGTCTCGAATCTTTTCTTGGTATTTTACTTTTTTCTTGGCATCCTTTCTTTTGTCAAAATTTTGCTTTGGCACAAGTTTTCTCTTGCTTAGCAATATATGTTTGTTAAATTACTTTGGAAATTGATAATTGTGTTTATTTTCAATAATGTAATTATTATTTATTTAACGAAGATAAATTGGTCACGAGCAAAATATTCTCCACAATAAAATTAAAGTTTATATTTTATATTTTAGGCTATACAGTAATAGCAACAAAACTCAGAAAACTTGAATAAAAACTTTTGCGGCGTGGGCTTTGCCAATCCAAGATTATGGAAGCTGTCAGCACATGTCTAAACTGGTAATTCTGATTACATAATGTTAAACAATAAATTGAGATCGAGTTTATGTCTCTTATGAAAAAATTTACCCGATAATGACTCCAAACATACATTTGCTCATTACACGATCTTGAAAGCTAAGCAAACTACTTTAATTTATAGTTTTGATAAATTATTCTTGACTATCGTTGAACTCTTAACATTAATGATTTACACGTAAATTTTGAGTATGCTACAATTAATGTCATTCAATACAATATCGATCAAGATTTTGCATTTGTAAAACCACGCGTTGTAAGACAAATTAATGCGTGCGTTGTTTGTATAATTGACATTGAGGCGCAATACTTGTTGTAAAGAAAAATTTTATGTGCGCTCAATGCGCGTTCTTTGTGGACTTTGTGCGAATGAGCACAACGCACATGATTTTTTGGAAGTCCGCGGGATCCGCAGATGTTTAGAATTCCTGATCGAACAGATAACTGTATCGATATCAGATTAAATGTCAACCTAGAAATTTTTTTTTACTTTAGGTTAACAATCAAATTAGAAAAATTATACATAACACGTGCACAGATGGTGCATATAACTTAAGATTCATTTTGCAAATCATACTTCTAAAAAAGTACATTACAGCGGAAAACTTGTTCATTTTCATTGACTAATAATGCACATCAATTTCTAAACATAGACAGGTATCCCCATTGATCTTGAATTTTAGCCAATGAGAATGGAATCACGTGGCACTAAAAATGCATAAGTGAAATAACATTTGATGTTCGTTTATTTCGATCGCGACGCTGTAAAACCAATTCTAATATAATGAATGTGGTTCCTATGCTCCAAATTAATTCTGAATATGCTGCGACTCATAATTATCAAAATTTCGCAAACCTTTAATAAGCAAATATTATTTGAAGATTTCGATCAGAGAATTTTATTTACGCATTTTACTCGAGACGGGATTTTTAAAACAAACAAAAGTGTTTTTTTCCTTTTGCAGCTAACAAATATTTGATACAGTGCAGGACGCCAATAAAATTAGTCATCTTTAAAGACTCAAATCAAATGTGACTGGTGGTCAGAAATCGATTTTTTGACCAAAAACGGGAAGTGTCCTACACTGTACAACATGAAATTTAATATTTGCATGATTTGCAAATGAAACTAAAGTTACCTATTTTAGCTAATACCAAAAGTTGAAACTCTGTTTCGACAGATTCATTAATAAGATTTTAACATAGTTTCGATAGAAAACTTACAAGCTTCCTGCTTAAATCGTTCTTGAAGCAAATTTTTGTAGAGTATTAGTATTGCTGAACAATAACTTGCAACCTTGATACGGTTGTGCCTCAGATGTCGATTCACGTGATCACTTTCGGTCAACATTAATATATTTCGCCCGCACTAACCCTAATCATAATTCTAGTAGAATTCATATTCTAATTTGGGCCGAGTGACACTTGAGGCAAATCGTTACCTGAGGCACGACAAGAACTAGATGCGTTCAATCAAAATTTTTTTTAATGTTTCTTATGTATGCTCTTTATAAAATGAAGTGGTACGTACACCGATAAAAATTGTTTAATCTCTTTCCTGTTCAAATCGAAACGATTCGTTAAAATACTCCATTATTGTACACCTAAGCTTATATATACCTTTGATTCAAAGAAATTTTTGTTCATGCAGTTAAACCAGCTTGACCCGCGAACAATAAAAATCATGATGTCAAATCCCCTGTCAAAGTAATCTCTAATGGATGTTGGGGAATTTTTCTCAATGAGAAAGAACTATTGTGCAAATATTCTATAAGTTAAATATTTATATTTCCGAAACGCAAAACTTGATTCCCACCCAAATTTATAAAAAAATAATTGAAACAAATAAACAATTTTAAGCTTTGGTAGAAAACAACTCTTTCAAGTATATTTTTAATAATGTGGGTCTTGAGTAACTTTAAGTTTTAGTTTTCGTTTAATTTTTCGCGTAGTTTTGTAGAAACCCTTTTTTTGTAATTTAAAATTTCGCACTTGTTAATTCGCAAAAACCTTTGATTCGTATAATATTTTTTTTATGTTTGAATTATTTACATGTTTTTAAGCGATTAAGTTGCAGCAATCATTCTATGTTTGCTTACTTTTTTATTAATGAATTGGATTGTTAAAAAGACTTCTTCGTGTTTGTGGTTTTCATGAAGAAAGTTTATTATAAATAGTAATAACAATCATGGTCTTTCCAACGCACGTCAGGAATGTGTACTATTACTATGTTAAGCCACAACACGTGAGCCCCTGGAAAAATTCTATGCTAATATTAATTAACATTAAAAGTTGATTTAAAGGTTAGAGCTGGAGCAAAAGTTAGTGTTTCAAGCTAGATTTAGGCATCTGTTTTACATTTTTATTTTCTTGCATCAGATCGGCGGTATTTTTCCTATTTTTGATACATCAATCAGGAAGAATATCATGTGAAAAACGGGCTAGTCTTTACTTGCGAATAATGACAATTATTAATATGGCAACAACATCATCGTTATTTAATAATTGTTTTGAGCGAAGCTATTTTGATCTACAAACTGTTTCCAAATTAGGGTTTCGGATAGTTTAGAACGAAACTGAAAGTTTACTGGGCGAAACGTTTCGAATTTGGAAAATCGCCCGACACTAATCTATTATATAGACCTATATTTATCAAATTATCACGTGAAACTATTGTACTTTGCATTATTCATGTATGAGAAAGGAAATCCCGTTTATTCCCTCCCCTTGTCAAATGTAACATTCTTGATGCATCAAAAATAATTTTTGCAGTGCATCAGGATTACCCGTGAATTATTTTTTTGCGGGAACGATGCCGCCGATCCATCAGGAGCGGTGTTTATTTAATTGACCTGAATATAGCATCTTTAGGATAGCTCTAATAGGTTGCATCCATTGTTTGACGCGAATGATTATTTGGTATCACGATTTCAAAGTCACATGCGACGTAGAACTAAAAATTGAAATTTGGGAATTTCTATAAATCACGTGTGAATTTTTCAATTATACGGTAGACATTTTTATACGATGCTATAAAAGTTATTAATTAGTTCGATTCTAACAGATAATGGTACCATTGGGTGACTTCAAAATATTTGACTAATTTATTTTTTGTTTATTAATTATAAAAACCCTCAATGCAACGCCCCAACGTGACCACCATTGTAACCGTTGCCAGGGGGAAATGGCATATATGCCGTCCCGGCAACAGAGCTCAATGGTGGCAAAGTCGGAGGGAGTTGCGTCAAGGTTTGTGGTCGTGGAAGGCCCCCGTTATATGCGGCAAAAGCCGACATACTTCGCTCTTGGTGTGCCTCCGAAACACCAACACCGGCTGCATTAGATTTTGAATCAATATCCATGTTAGATGGTGAATCATCGGTGATGACTGCATTCGGAGAGCTCACTACCTCATTGTCTTTATTGTGATCGTACCCATTATAATTTGTCAAAATAGCCGATGTAACTGAATGAGTATCAGATATAGACGACGCCACTGAAGTTTTTCGATGCAATCGGCGTCCATTCTATTCACAATAATTTAATTGGTAAGAAATAATATTTATTTTTGCAAATATCCCAAAAATAATTGTGAAACATCACACACCTTTGCTGGAGCAGTATAATCTGAGTTTAACTTGTAGAGAGTAAGGCCCACCTTGAGAACGCGACCTTTCTTAACAGCTTTGTGTAATGCTTGAGATGCGGAAGAACGGAATTTAGCGTGTAACGGATAAGTGCTATGAATTGATAATGTTTTATAAGAAATTATTCTTAACCAAATATGAAAATGATGAATCATCAAATTCTCATACCTCTCCATTTTGTCAAATATAGTCTTCGGTGGACTTCCATTCTGATCAGCAATGGCACCTATTGCTTCAACAATCATTTCTTCATAAGAGGGTAAATTAGCGGTAGTAGGGCTAGGTAAAAGTGATTGTGGTGCCCTTATAGTGTTTGGCGAAGTGGATAAGGTTGTAAGACTAAAAGCAAAGGTTGAAGATTGTGGCGCTTGAATTAGGGTAGTGGATGGTGGAAGATGGGCGTGCATCGCTGAAGGTTGCTCTTGAGAGGTTGTGGACAAATAGGAATGATGTCTTGGGATTGAAAAAGATTTTTCATGCATCGGAGAGAATTGTGAAGGAAGATTTGACTGTACAGTCGATGCGCTTGGTGTAGGAGTCGGAGATATTGAACTGCGTGCAGGCACTGATCCAGAAGATGAAGATAAATTTACATTTGATTGAGCTTCAATAGCTCGCGCTTGATCAGTAGAATCAATGACAACTTCTGGTACGGGATGAGGGGTTTGAGAAGTATCAACTATATCTTTGAAATTATGTGGATAAATAGGTAAATCAGGATGTAAAGTTTCCGCGAATAATAAAAGTTTGACTAAAGTATCGGATGATAATGATTGTAAATATTGTTTTTTCTATAGAAATTATTAATAAATATTAATTAATTTTATTTTCCGCGTAAAGATGAAGTGATTTTTTTAATTTGAATTCGAAAAATACCTGTCCTTCGGTATAGTCTTTTCCGGTTACACCTGTAGACAATTGATTCGATATATCTGACGATTCAATTTTTCTCTTTTTGTTTGCCTGTTTCTCATTCTCACATTTCAAGCAATACCATGATGCATCCCTTACTTCCGTGACATAATCGTCAATATTTGGCACATGACATTGTTGATGAAAAGGTGTATCACATGAATCACACAAAACTATACGATTATGTTTCGGTGATTGGCCTTCTTGGCATATGGAACATAGGACATCTTCAGCCACCACTGGACTCGGTTCCCTTCGCTGACGTTTCGATGATCCTGAAATTTTCAAATAATACCCATATTTGATAAAACCAAATAGCATACAATAAATTGTAAAGATACTTTCTCGTTTATTTACCTGAAGATTTAGTTGAGGATTTTTTTGTAGATTTGCTTGTTGTTTTATTTGTTGTTTTAGAACCTCGACTAGGTTTTGGTGCATTAGGTGAATAATGAACTGGTTTTGACACCTTCCGTCCAAATTTTGTTATCAGCTCTTTTTTTGATGAAAAATTGAATTAGTCGTATGCTAATTGAAAAACACGATTTAAGAAATGATTACACATACCTTCGTGATGTGAACCAGGCTGTTGTTGATTGGTGTTGCTTTCATTGGCGGTGAGATGATCAGAATTTAACTGATTAGCATCAGTATCATCCAGTATTGATGATGTTTCAATTTGTGCTACAACTTCAACATTAATTGTTTCTGGCGGTGTCGGAAATGATGGGGTCGCACTCAGATTATTGTTCACTTCGAGATTTGTATTGAGAGAAATATCTCGACTCGCTTGTGATGTGGGAGAAATATCATCTTCCAATTCAAAATCCCCATCTTCATCACCCTAGATAACATACGTGAATATTGACGTAATTTACAATTGTAGTCTCAAAACTAACAATGACTCTTGATGATGCAGTTGTAGCCAGAGTAAGCCAATGAAATCTCTTTCTAGAAACGCGTTGACTTACCCACTCCTCGCCATTTGCTCCACTTCCCTTAGATGTATTTGGCGATCGTGTTCCGTTTGAGTTATTTGTGTCGGGCGAACGCGTATTAATCATGGAACGAGGCGTCTGTTGGTCACTCTCACTTGTATGCTGATCGGACTTATCTGGAGTTTGAAGGCCAGTTGTGGGCTCAAAGTCTGTTATAGATTTATCTATTGTCAACGTTGTGAGAGCTGTTTCGGTATCGGTCATGTTTCTTTGCTTTGCTTGTTGAAATAATAATTTTCTTTCCGGAGATATTAGAATTCTTACAAGGTAGGATATTATATGTAAGTGTTGCGACAAAGTAACCAAAATGGTAAAAATAATATAAGGTAAAAACTATAAACTCTTGTTTCTAATAATAAAATGTGTTATTTAGAAAAACTATTAATAGGTTACAACAGAAGAGACGTGAAGTTGTCTTTTTGCGCGGTTGTGTTGTTGATTTCTTTCATATCATATGGATGACTTCGCATTGTGAAACCAAAACTATTTCTTTATGGTGAAGATTTTACTACGGCACAGCCCGTTTGTTGGACATTAGCGGTAGTCTGTACGTATCATTGATCATTGAATGGTTTTAGACGTCCAATTTGGACTTTACGCAAACGGGACGGAATTTTGTAGTTATTAAATTAAATGAGGAAGTTTTGTCTTTCAGTCTTATGCGATTAAAAAATAATTTATTTCAAACTCTTTAAATCTATGGTGGATTGCAATACTTTTGTAGCTTTTGTCCTGTCATCTAAGTCAATGGCTTTAATTTCAAGCTGAGAAGAAGAACTGGTAGAATTGGGGTTTGTACATTCAGGTAAATACAGAAACTTGTCCCGATTCTGTACTCAGGTATCTAACATACTTCAGGATTTTCGGTTCTGATGAGTTCGATACATTTTTGATCAGACCCATCAATCACTTTTATGCGCTGAAAGGATCTAAAGAGAACGTAGAGACTTTAACTAAAAAGAATTATTAAACAAAAGGAACAAGACAAAAACTCTGAAATAAAAGAACAAAAGCATAGCAATAACTTCAAGAGGAATTTTGGAACTTGGAGAGCCAAATACGTCAAGAGCTTGAAGAACCACACTTTGCTAAACGAGTTAAGAGCAGGAATCAAAATAACAGCAGCCTTCCTCCATCTGAATGAATCCTGATAGTGTAAAGCGTTTCTGATTTCTGGCTCGAACTCACTCTCTAAAATCAATAATAGATTACTTGGGACCAATTTCCGTCATGCAACCATTAAGCATTCAGCAGCTTCGATTGATGGTAGTTTGTATGCGTACTTTCTTTTTAATATTATAGCTCATTTTTAAATTTATTAGCATTTAGCAGGGCCCTGATATAGTGTATCGATATTTTTATCTAATTTGGCATATTTATGTTATATTTTAAAAATCAAAAACTATTCAATTAAAAGGACATCTATTTACAATTATCCAGTTCTATTATTGAAAACATCATAGATACGAAAAAGCAAAATAAGTCCCAATCAACTTCTGCCAGCTGCGTTATCGAGTTTAGGGAAGTCCGCTTTCTAGCATCCACTTTCTTTCCGCTTCTGCGTACGCAAGATAAGATCCCTGTTTCTCTCACTCTTTCACCTTTTAATTTTAAATATTACTTGTTTGGGGGATTAAATAGCTTCAATTCTGGAATAGCTCTTATTGAAAGGTGGAAGAAAAAATGATCTTATCTTGTGCTTGTACAAAGACCTTGAATCCAGAGGTGCAGAGTGGGAGGATACTTTCAAACAGACGAAGAAAAAAGGTTTTCTGGTTGGCGTGCGAAGGAGTTTTGATGCTTCGTTCGTGCTGCTTGGAGAAGACTAGTGCCATTGATCAAGAACTCCAGTTGTCTTCTCTATCATCCAAATTTTCGCTTGTAAATTCAGTATTTTTTAGAAAGCGGACTTGAACTTCCTAAACTCATCCGACGTATCATTTATATTTTTGAACTAAGTCCTTTTATCTGAGCCCTACTATGATTTCTTCGCCGCCTTCTATTATGATTCCTCCTCCCTCCTTGTTTTCCGGTCATATTGCGTTCAAACAGCAATTGGAAACTTTTTGATTTTATTTCCACGCTATAATTTCTGCCGAGGAGGACCACTTCGCATTATATGATAAACGCGTGAACAAATTACAATTGAATACTGTATCTTTCACGTCCAAATAATTTGGGAACAAAATCACATCCTTTTTTCAGAATCTCATTTTATGAGTGTTGTCAGATTCTGTTTAGTAAATTTTAAAAGAAATCAGCACTATACAAATTACCGAATGCGTTCTTCCTCACCTTGTAAACAAAATAGCTTAACCTTTGCTTGTTCCTCCGCCTTCCTCGTCCTGTATTATCTTCTGACAGCCTGCGCCTTAGGATTAGACGCTTTTCTTCAACAGATTACTGTTCTCCGCCTTCAAAGAGGTAAAGAGGGCATTGCACTTTGTTGGACCCAGAATTTGTGCTTCTTGCTGAAATTTTCTAGACCATACACTATTGAGGATCTTCCAATCTTTTATTAATGATGGTGAGTTGACTATGGAAGCGATTCTGTGTCAAAAACTCTATGAACATCAACCTCATTCAGATAAGCTAAAATTTCTATCAAAAATTAAACGTGATTAGTAGTATTCTAGCTTGAAGAAATAGGCTTACTGCAGCCATGTCCTCGTCCTTCATTGAATAAAGTTTTGTGGTGTATCGTTCATTTTTAGTTCAACTCGCTAGAATATCCAGGTAGAAAAATTATTCTCTGCTAAAGTTCATCATGCTTCGCAAAATCCAGCAATACAAAATAACATACCGAGAAAAGCCAATCTATTTTCATGCCCTCCCCGCGTTTCACTCCTTTTTCAGAAAATTTTAATCGCTCTGCTTAGAATGTCTCACTAGAGTGAGAAGTAACAACTGTACAACAGAACAATAATGAAACTAATTTACAAATGCTGGTCGATGACGTCATCAAGAGTCTCGAATAATATTGAATTGTCTTTGGTTTGTCGTGTTCATTTTATCAAGCTGATATGGTGATATATGCTACAATATAAAGCTTTGCATATTGTTGTATGTATTCCAGAATACATTGCCATCATGAGGAGGTTCTTTTTCATTCTCTGGTTATGAAGCTTTTGCACCTCGTCAACAATCAAAAATGTTTCGAGATATGCTAAATGGATTTCTGTTACATCATTAGTAGTCTTAAAAACTCTCCTTCCATATATGTTTCATAATTTCTTCGCAAACCCCGAGCACAGACACAAGCCCAAGCATACTTGAGAAGTTTTTGTCGATGTAGGCATATTTGAATAATTTAAAGCAGCATAAGCCTCAGAGCCCCAATTCAAATATTGAAACTAGATTATAAATTATTAAACGAACATAGCAACATTATCAAAGATGCATGGCTTACAGTATTCCATTTTAAGATATGAAATACTGGCAATCTAGAAAGCATAATAGGGCTCCTGTCCAGCAGAATCTTGACCGGCTCTTTGCGTGCCCCTCCAACCTATTAGATTCCGACTTGGTTATACTAATCCGTTTGTCAAACACTCCCGAAGCGGTATACCCAATCGCCTGAACCTTTGATGTATGCCCTCAACTGCTTTTCCCATTCAGTATCTCACGAATAGTCCTGCAAAAGGAATGGATCTGTAAGGACACGTCAATAAGTGGATGGCTCAAAGATATTTATGGAGATCAGGGTCTTTGGACCGAAAAAACTCAATTGGCGAGTGGTTCAAGACGTTCGCAAGGTCCTCTTGTCGGGGCTGCTGATAAAGAGAAATGAGTTCTGCGATCTGTTTGTCTTTTTGTTCAATTTGTGAGAGCAAAAATTGTTGCATGTTGATCGCCAGTAGTATTAGTTAAATAAGATTCTGCGTCGACTATAGAAAGATCAGCACTATCATAAAGAAAGACTCACGAGAATCGATGAAATTCTGTACACATTGGGAGGATCACAATGGTTCTCTACTCTCGACTTAGTGATTACTAGCAAGTCGAAATGGACCCCAATGATCGCGAAAGACAGCTTTCACCACTCGTCTTGTAGGATTTCTAAGAAAAAGCGTTCACGGGAGTGTTGTTCTCAAATATAATGTGCTTGAGTGATTGTGTGTCGAGATTTAATTTGCTCAACAATAAATTGCTTTCGAGAAGCTGAATCCGATTAGCGACATTCATCGTCAGTTTTGATGTCTTGTTTTAGTCCTTGATTTCTTTTTTCTTTCTTCATCTCTGTCGTTTCTTTTTTCAAGCTGTCCATATCCTAATACGTAACAGCCTGAGTACAGCGAAACTCCAACAATAATTCAAGGGGGTGGTGCTAAGAATTTCACATTGATGAATATACAGACAAGCAGTAGATTTAATCACATATAAAATGAATTGGAAAACTCACTTGAAACAACTCAGTAGAATCCAATATGTCGTCGACGAAAAAAGGAAAAAGCATAAGTTAGTCAATGTCGCAAATGTTTCTGTTGAAGCGCTTGCAAAAGCATCTCGTAATTTGCGTACAGAAATCTCTGTCGCTCCTTCTTAGAATCTTCTCATTACATGTATATTGTTTTTCAGTTTCGGGTAGATAGATCATCGTATGGGCTAATTTGACTCGAATTTTGGGTAATTTTCGAGTTAAATCGGTTGATCCGCCCATAAGCAATACACCATTTTCTATTTTCAGTGATTTTTTTTTAGGTAATTTGACGTGTCAAGAATTAATATAACTCACTCTCAATATAGTGAAGAATTTTTTTAGAATCATTAACAAAATTTCACTCGATATAGTGAAGTCATATAGTATAAGCTATAATGAATATTTTTTTTCCTTAACCCGATGTCTGCACTATATCGAATTCGAATTGACAAAAATGCTATCATCAATGAATGTAACAGTTGTAATTGCTTCTTCAGCTTTATATTTCATATAGTTTCCCGATTAATGCATGGTTGAGGATGAAAGTATTAAGAAACTATCAGTATTTCCTAAGAAGTTTGATCTGATTGCCAGATATTTTTAATCGTTAAGTTCTTTGACATCGATAATAATATACGCCTTTTTGGCTGACTTCTATTAGAGTCTGGATTTCAGCTATTCCAAGACTTTGATCGAGTTTCATTGGAGTCATTCTCATTTTTATCAGACCAGATGGACTTGAACTAACACGAAGCCATTGCATCACCCTTGTATTTTTTATTCTTTTCGTGAGAAGATAAAACTTTATGCGATTCTAAGTTCCCGAGTCAGGCTTTCGTTGAATTCTGATAAAATGATTGTACAGAATAAACATTATACATGTACCATTGGTTTACCTTTTTTGACTCATTCTTGGCGAAAATACTTATTTACGTATATTTTGAGAAACTACCTGCATAAGCATTTACGACTTTATCCAATTTTACGTTATATTTTCAGGTATTGTGAAATATGCATTTTCGTTAAACTTATTTTAAAAAATTTTTATTATATTATCATATAAATGGTAATAAGCAGATTTTTCAGCAAATTTTAAAGAAACTTTGATTATTCTAAATGAAAACAAAAATGCTCATTATTTACGGCGCGCACTGTAAAGATAATATCAACATTAGTAGTCCAAAAGAAAATTTGCCATTAATTTTAGAAGGTACATTTCCATGAGAAAGCGTTTCGTCCCATTTTCTTAACTTCTTCACAGACATTAGAATAGAATAGAATAGAATATTGTAAATATTCATAATGCATTTTGATTAAAGTTTCTTTGCTTTATTCATCTTTCATTTCGTTCCGAAAAGTTTGGATTTTGGCTTTATTTCTTTCACTGTGTTTTTATTATTCGTGAAGAGTCAGATCTAATACTTCCGAACAATCGCACCTTGTATACTCACAACCTCTGTGATTATATGGAGGTACGACTGTTTAAAGAATCATATTCCTTTTAGCTCCAAGTTTCGTGATCCGAAAACGTAATCTTCGGAACATGTGGAATATACACGAAAAAACCGTATTTATGATCAATATTCCATCATTGAGATATGATGAAATTAATCAAACTATTAATACATTCCTTTATAATTACTATTGTATCCATAATTGCTTTCAGAATTTTATCTATTTCCACGATTCAGCCAAATACTCACCTCTAAATATGACCGACGGTACAAGTGTGTCTTTTGATGATCTCAAGAGAACTAATAGAAGGGGATACGGTGAATCTGGACCTATAAGAAAGCCTCACTTTCAAATTCTTAGACCTCTTAATGAAGTTAACCTAAACACAGAAAGTAAAATTATCGTATCAAACCTTGGATATAAAGTGACCGAAGCAGATTTATATGAGCTATTCGGCGAGATGATAGGTCCCGTACGCGAAATCGCGCTCGACTATGATAAACTTGGTCATTTCAAGGGGTCAGCAGTAATTGTTTTCGCTAGAAGAGGCGATGCAGTTAGAGCAGTGGAACGATTTCGCGGCGTGACGTTGGATGGTCAAGAATTAAAGATTGAAGTAATTGTCATGCCGCGGAAAACCCCGATTTGCCAACGTATGGGAAGCATTGATCCAAATTTTAGGCGAGGAGTCGGATTCAGAGGTGGTTTAAGGAACGGACGACTTAGCGGCAGAAAGGGATACGGTCTTGGTGGAAGATCACAAGGACCAACTCCTACCAAAGAACAACTCGATACAGAACTCGATGAATATATGCAAATCGAGGTGAATATTAATGGTTTAATACTGAAGTCAATTATTCGCAAATTTTATTCTGAGATTATTAATCACATTTATTTGTATGAAAGGACTAACAATCATGTTGATATCGACATCAACCAATATATAGTTTGAATTTCTTCATCAAAAACATTTGAGATATGGAATGGGAAATGTGATTGTACATTATTTAGAGCTCTATCTATTATGCCATTATGTATTTATATTGTCTACCTTTGTAAATTTTGCTAAGAAAGTTTTGCACTTTTTCTGACCAATCATATAATAAACGTTGGTCTTCCATATAAAGTGTGCTCACTTTAACATCAATTTTATTTATTCTCAAATTACTGCAATAGCTTTATTAATAGGTTTACTTAACATCTTTCTAAGGCGTGATACCCGCCGACTCAGCTTTTTACTTTTAAAGTCAAAAATTTTATTTATATAAAATCGTATTTTGATGAAAAACAATTTTTTTGGTCCGGTAACTTCGGGACGTGAGTAATACATTTTGGTATTAATCTGCGCCTAAAAATTTAAATTTCATGTGCATTCCTATCGGTCCATTATATAGTGCAGGTCACTTAGTTACCACACAAAAAGTGAATTAGCTTAAATTCTATCAGAATCCCTCCTTATACTTAAAAAAATAGAAAATACGTCAATTGATAGTTCATTAACTACTTTATAATATATGGATTTTTTGACTGGAGCAATTCTGATTATTGAGTTGATAGTTATATATTTGCTAAGTATAGAATACAAGAAATTGTCAATTATATATTTGAATAAATATGTCAGAATTTTTTTCCTTCATCTCTTTTGAACTTTAGCAAAAATTAATAACCATCAATATCTGATTTGGTATTAATATACAACTGAAAATTTGACCGGTGGCGCAGCAATTATAGTGACTAAGTGATTTGTACTCTAACAGAAAATTTAGTTGGTGATACAGCAATTGTGATTATTAAGTAACCTGTACTATACGTATATTGCGCTTAAAAATTTGAAATTTGGAATCACGTTTCATAGATCCAGCTTGAATTATGAGAATCATGAAATTTTTTTGGTATAATTTAATTTAATATATAAATTAAATTTGTTTTACTTTTGGTTTTCTTATAAATACTTAGTATTGTAAAGATAAAATTACAAGTATTTCATTCACTAAATAAACTGTAAAATATATATTATTTCAAATATTATAAAGTTTTTTTTCTATTTTTTTATTTATAATAAATATCAAATTCACAAAATTTTTTATAGTATTTCATGTTTTCTTAATATTTTACATATTATATATATTATACTTCAAATTACAATTTGCTCCAATTAATAACTGGAATATATTTCAGATTAAAATTTAAATCAAATATTAAACTATTTTTTAATATTAAATCTTTTTAGTTATATCTTATATATATATATATTAATAAATTTTATATAAAAAAGTTTATAAATCAAAATATTTATTTAATATTTTTGTATTTAATTTATAATTTAGTTTATAAAAAGCTTTATTTAAAATTAATTTTAATTCTTATTCTAAATTTAATTATATTTTTATTTAAGCTAATAATATAATAATAATCAAAAATAATATAATAATATCAAAATTTATTAATTAAATATAGTAAAATATGAATTTTTCTCTTTATATAAAAGTTTTTAATTTACTAATAAATATTTTTTATTTTTACATTAAAATAAAAATAATATCATATATTTTAAAAATTTTTTTAGAATTAATCTAATTAAATTATTCTAATTATATATAAAGTCAATTATTTTTTATAATTAAAACATATAAAAAATAATTGATTTTATATATAATTAGAATAGCTTTATTAAATTAAATTAAAAAATCTAAAAAAATATATAATATTATTTTTATTTTAATATAAAATAAAAAATATTTATTAATAAATTAAAAACTTTATATAAAGAGAAAAATCTATATTTTATTATATTTCATTAATAAATTTTGATGTTATTATATTATTTTTAATTGTTATTGTAATTTAAAACAATAATAATTTTAAATATAATATATAATAACAAAAATATAAATATTAATAAAACATAATAAAAATATAAAAAATACAAGTTTTTCTTTTTATATAAAGTTTTTAATTTTATTAATAAATATTTTTTAATTTTATATTAAATAAAGATAATATTATATATTTTAACATATATTTTTTTCAGATTTTTATTAATTTTATATGTAATTAGAATAATTTTGTCAGATTAAATTTAAAAATTTGAAAAAATTTATGTTAAAATAAAAATATTTATTAATAAAATTAAAAACTTTTATATAAAGAAAATAATTTGTATTTTTTATATTTTTATTAATAATTTTTTTATTATTGCATTCTTTTTTATTGTTATTATATATAATTAATATCATATAAAAGTCATTATTTCGAAGAATTAGCAAGTAAAATTTCATAATTATATAATTAATAATCTAAAAAACAAGTGTTAACAAAAAAAATTTTCTTTAAAATCTTTTAATTTTAAAATATCAAACAAAAATTCTGAATTAACAAAAAAATCTTGTATTTTAATCTAAAATGAATTAAAAAAACAATTAAAAATAAATAATTTATTTAAAGATTGCTCTAAAAGAAAATAAATACAAATTCTATTTAAAAAATAAATATACTTATTAAAAATATACAAAAATATAAGCATGTAGTTTTAATAATGATTGAACAAAATATTTTTTTGAATTTCATATTTTTATTAATTTAAGTATATAAAAGCTATATTTTTCAAAATCTAAATTACATTAATAAATATAAAATAAATAATATATATTCAATAAATCATATTTCTTTAAATATTTGCTTTTTAAATATATTATCATATAAATTTCAAGAGTAGAAGTATAATAATTATTCTATATATGAAAAAAAGCCAGTAAAAAAGACAAATTTATCAGAGCAATTTCTTCCTTTTTACCGACTTTTTCTCTATATAATCACACTTCTCTAAATGCGTATTTTTGAATTGATATTATTTTTCAGATTGTCTGCAAACTTTTTAGAATTCAATTTTATACTAAATAAAATTTGAATTATCAACTAAATAAAATGATAAGTTTTAATTTCTAAAGAATTGATATAATTTAGAAAATATGGTTATAATACCAAATAAATATATTATATATCACCACATAAAGTATAGTGTGAAGGTAAATTCAATAAATATTGATAGTTAAAACCTATCAAATAAATACATCATAAAACAATAGCCATCCAAGGATCTTGATTATCTTCTTCAAAATATGGAATGTCTTTAAGTCTAGTTTCACGTCAGGATGGATTGTTAAATTGTTTTGATTTGTTTACTAGACGGAATAGCCTTTATATTAGTTTTCATAATAGAGTTCCCCCCCCCGGGTAAAAACTTTGCCACTTAATTTAACCTCATTGGCAGAAAAACAATTAAAAATCCGTTTAAATTAACGTTTAAAGGGAGGGCACTATAAGGTAATTACGGCTTTTTCGAACAACCAATATACGTTCGACGATTTATATATGACGACAATTATGGCATCCTGCATTTCGTCACGTGAATTTGCTTGGATCGTTAATCAATCAAAACGATAATGATAAGCTATTAGCGTTAGTATTAACCCATTATTTATTATCGTTATTTTAGGAAATATAATCAATAACTTTTTTGATCTGAAAATGGAAAATGAGAACATTGTTTGTGAGAAAAAACTTTTTGTAACGGAAAATAATCAAATGTTTGCTCACGAAAACAGCGAAATAATTACAAATACATATGATAATAGAGAAGAAGAGAAAGACTCATGTGTCGATTTGAAAGGTTACAGATTCAACTTGAACGTTAGTTTATTTGACAATATACGTATAATCTAACGATGGATATCTGATGATAGATAATAAAATTAATACGTTGACGGACAATAACAGTCCAAGCGATTGTCCAGCTTCTTCGCTTGAGCTTAAAAGGGATTTGGTGCATTTTACTGCATTGCCGAGTAAGAATGTATCTTTGTAGCCGTAAAATCCTTATCCATTCCAACTCCATCTAAATGTCATCTATCAGATTCAGAAAACGCAGAGCAAGCGACTGCTGGAGTTGACTGCAGTAAAAAAGAAATTAAGAGTCAACGTTATCGCCAGGTAAATTTTTTTTTAATTCAATTTTCAATTCTCTTGCTAAAAAGTTCAATAATTTTCAAAGGGGACTGTTCAATTCCTTGTTCGAGATGGCGAATCTTTAACGGAGGAATGGGTTAAACAGGATGATCTGTGAGATAATTTTTTATTTTTTATGTATTTTTATTATTTTTTTCTAATTATTTAATTTCAATTAGGAACCCTACTTTTATTTCAATGTATTTGGATAGTTTGGAAAAAATTCAAAATCATAATAATAAAAATGATAATCAAAAAAACAGAACAAAAAATTCTCATGATAATGAAGAAAGGAATTCCCGGAGCAATGCTAAACGCCCGAGAGGGCGACCCAGAAAAGAAAAACCCCCACCTGGTCGACCAAGGTTGACGACGACGTCAACGAAAGATCACGAAATTAAAAATTTGAAATACCAAAACAATTATGTACCTAGTGATTCCAGTAACGACGAACCATTTGCTTCAAATCCCTCTGACATTAAATCTGAGGATAGTAAATCCGAGGATATGATTATAGAAGAATCAGCATCTCAGAATTTCAGTGAACTTCTATCAAGTCAACTTCAGGATTACTTTACAAAAAAAGTTCCTGCTAACGATTCTATGGAAGAAGAAACAGAAAGTTCTTCCGACGAAACTTCATCCAATTGCTCTGGAGAGTCGGAGAATTTTCGAGTATTAAGCATTCACAAAGACACCCATAATGAAATATACTTTAAAATTGAGAGGTATTAAGCACATTTCGCATATTTGTGATAAAATAATTAAAGAATCTTATCTTTTACCATCTTTATTAAAGTAATGATGGATCCGCATCATTGATAAAACGATCGGAAGCTAATTTACTTTATCCTCAAGAGGTTTGTGCGTAAATTTTATCGAGATTATTATTTTAGCAGAAAATATTGATTTTTTTTATTAAATAGGTTCTTGCTTTTTATGAGTCCAAGTTGACTTGGAATTGCCAATGATGTTTCTTATAGGTTCAGAAATTCTTTCTTTTGTTAATAGTACCCTCAACAGTATTCCGCAAATATTGTATAATTGTATAAACACATTGTTTTCAGAAGAATTTTTGCTATTATTAATCTTTGTGCTTAGAAAAAGTAGTATATACGTATATATATATATATCAATAAAATATTGACCTTTTCTTCTCGAAAAATCGTTTCATTGACGCGCGTTAAAAATTTCTATGATATTACCCTAAGTACATTGGGAAATTTGTTCATATACCAAGAGTAGAACATGTGTTAACGTTATTGACTATTACTATAGTTTTAGCCAAATACATGAATACTTTACCAACCTCGAACATATTTCAATGGCATTTACCCTGCGTTGATTTAAACGAGTATTTTCTGGCAGAAAAATCGATGAAGCTTCACATATGAATTATGACTCTCCGCCTCAGCACACAATATCTCTACATTTTTCTCAAAATCAGCTTTTGGCGTATTCAAATATTCGACTGAGAACGTAACCAACCAACGGAACTCAATTTCAGCCGCAGCTCTTGCAATTTGACTTTCGGTTCGATTCAACGAGACACATCGATAATCGTGCTGAATGCTCTGAAGTTGACCAGTATTATCAAGAATTGTGGCGAGATTGTCGACAAAGGATAAGTCGACCTGTGCTTTGCGCATTTTCTCATGAACTATGTTGTATAAAGAAATGGGTGAAATTATTAAGAGAGCTAAATGAAAAAAACATATATATATATTTATTGTTTACTTACAGTTATAAAGTGTTTGATTTGCAATTGGACCCGTATCATAAATGAATGGATCAATTGCACAAATTTCCAACCATCCACCTGGTTTCACTACTCTTACTAGTTCGTTAATATCGAATTTCCCGACACTCAATAGGAAAAACGCAGAATTTACGTGTACATAGTCGAAAGTTCGACCAGATTTGTAGAATGGCATTTCTAACGTGAGATCACCGTGACAAAATTCTACGTTGAAAGGCTTAAAAGAAGGATATGCCTGTATGGTGTCGTAGCCGGTGAAATTAGATTCTGGGTAGTCGGAGGCAACATCGAATAACCTATGATGGCGAATTCAATAAATATATTCTGAAAATTTACTAAATCAACTTTATAATTACCAAGTTCCAGGCCCGCATCCTTTTTCGCGAAGATTTTGTTGAATGAATGCGTAATTAGTGTTGATTCGTTAAAATCTTTACAGTATAATAACAAGTAATCTTTTTTTTTTGATACCTTACCAACATCTAGTACTTCAGCTCCTGATTCTAATTTTTGAGCAACGGGGCTAGAAAAATTCCCCCGCCAAGTTTCACGTAACATATGATGTTCGACTTGAAGTCGTTCAATTTCCGACTCTTCTTTCACTTTTTAGAAAAGAAATTATATTACATCGTAAGATCCGACTTGAGCAATCTGAATTCTTTTACAATAAATTCAACGATATTTTTCAAAAAATCTTACCATTTATTAAATAATGTGAATTCTTTATTTCGTTTACACTCGATTGCATTACTCCCATTTTTATTATTGTTATATATATTCGACAGAGAACTAATAAACCGAAATAAAAAACCGAAATAACTAGACCAGAAATGCACCTATATATTATGCAACTATTTATTTTCTGCTTTTTTATTTGTAAATAATTGTTTTGTCAGCTTAACGAAAGGCCATTATCATAAACGAGAGGTTATCACACCAGTCTTGATAAATTTTTTCCATATGAAGATGCGTGTATGCGCATGCATGTATACCAACTATCACTATTGCCGCTGCAGAAACACCACATAATGATCCCAGATATTCTTTGTAATCACACACATACACACAAAAGTGCAACAACGACGACGACGAAAAGAATACTAGCAAAACTTTATATCATAAGAGACTGGCGCGGACTACGTATTCAACCAGTTGATCTTTCTTAGTTGAGTCGAGTTTTTCCATATACGTGAAACAGGTCGTAATTACATGTACGTATTTTCTTTCCGGATCACGGAAATATTGCCAAACTCTGCAGATGTATTATCTAAGAAAATAATCGCAGATTTTATCACTTGAAAAGCACATTAAATAAATTTGGTCGCGTTCAAGGAAAATCATCTTGACCTTTAAAGTCACACTGAATTTTCTACTCAAGGTTACTTACTTAAATTGTACAAAATTAATTAATAAGAGTATAAATTACAAAATTCGAAAACAGGTCCAAAACTATTGGATATTATTACATGTATTAACGCAATGAGAATTACACAAAAGTAAAGCTTGATATGGAAGCTGGTCTGTTATGATTTCCACCATCATTTCCGTTGTGATCACGATCATTGTCATTACCGTTTATAGATCCTATATTTTTTGATAATAAGATATTCAATTTCAAATTACATAGATACTCGTGCAAACAATCATTTTGATTACTATTTACCATGCCAGCTACTGATATTGTTGTCACTTCAGTTAGCAATTCACCATCATTGTATGAACCATTCCACGAACCATTATAGCTACCAATGTTAGAGTTTCCGTTGTTTCCACCACTTGCCGCGTCAGTGCTTCCGATACCATTATAAGATCCATTCAAGTTCCCAACATTGTTGTTTCCGTTTTTCTTGTCCGAATTACCTTTACCATTCAAATTTCCGACATTATCACCGCCTCCATTACCATTGCCGACATTTCCTTTTCCGGTATTACCGCAACCGACATTATTTAAACTGGCTTCACATCCGGAGTTACCGGCCCACCAAGCACCTCGTTTAGCTATTGGTACCGCGGTAACGCACGAAACAGTGAAAAGTACAATAAGAATAATCGAAATGAGTTTTTGTGCCATTTCTTGAAATTTGTTTGTGAAGCTTTGTTTTGATGTTTTCGTCAAAGGTGATGAAGAAAAATCTCTCATGTTGCTTTTATAATCAAGGAATAAATCAAGGGGCTGAGTGAATATATTTAAAAAAATTTAAGATTCCAAAATTATAGGCTTGGAAATTTAGCTTAATGAAAAATGGTGAATAGCATCAGCAAGTTTATGATTTTGAATCTAAATTAGATCGTTTTACTGAAAAAAATCTTGACGAATTTAGACTATCTTGGGACTCATTGCAAATGCTGAGCGTGGCGTTAATTATGAAGTCATTTACAATGCGAAAATGCTGAGCATGGCGTTAATTATGAAGACATTTACAATGTGAAAATTAGGCTGTGTCATTTACCAGCGCTAGTAGAAAGAATAATGTGTGGTCGTACGAGTTCCGTTATAACGATTATTCAAGGGTCATAGAGATAATTCCTTTTTAATTATTATTATATTTTGGCTAATTATATCATAGCATGTAGCGGTAACGGTAACAGTAACACTGTGTGTAAACCGCCAAAATGCGTGGCAATGAATTAATTATGCATGCATTCTGATTATCTTAAAATCTGAAAATTAGGTCAAAAATAGAGACGGGACTTCTAAGTTTCAGGACTTAAATAAAAATGCATATTACTTTAAAATTCTGCACATTTTAATATTATGTTTTCTCGCATTTTACCAAGAATATCATCAAACAAATCATTCATGCATACATGTATGTATAATAAGAATAAATTTACTTCAGAAGTTTATTTAATTAGGCCGTATCCTCTCCAAATTTTTAACCAATAGAATGGCATTTTAACAGCACTTAACCTATGTTATGTTAAACAGATACGTAATTAGCTTGGTCTGGTCTAACTCAATTAAGTCATAAAAGCTTGAAAGCTTTTCAGTCAAAAATGTAAATGATAATTAGTTCAAGGCAAACGTGTTATGTACACTTTATTTCGGACACCCTTAATATTGTCATTTACTTTGTTTTCTATTGTTATCTGTAGAGAAAATGTTCCTTATTGTTTCTCTACGTATAATATGCAGAAAAAATTTTCTTTATTGTCTTGAGGCCTAGAATTCCTTTTTTTCTATAAGAGGGCTCATTCAGTCTGTTTTGGATCAAATTGTCGCTTTGCATAATAACGATAAAAATGAAGTTTGATTTTCTAGATAACGATAACATTATTTGTTAGTGTTACTATCGCTATATTGGTAAATCTAGCTCGAACAGATATATCGATATTAATATTAACGCTAAATCAAGTTTCCACTATAAAGGAAGTCTACTATAAAGAGCGTGACCGTGTATTATGCAAAGATACATCGTCATATAATCGAAGTTTTAATGTTATAGAAAAACTTGTTGCCGCAGAATTTACTGCAAAAGAATTAGTATTGTATAGCACACTGATAATTAATTTTGAATTTGCGAGAAGGTTCCAAGAGAAATTTAGAGTTGTTTCTTTGGCATTGAAAAAAGTCATGTGGACTACTTCTAATATATGTGTGTATAAAAGCTCTAAATATTGTATGGGGATTCTATGCTTCTACCTTCTAAGCAATATATTAATTAATGAGATTTGCAATATTATATGTATAGTATGAATTAATAATTAATTAGTATGAATTAATAATTAGTATGAATGAATAATTGTAGATATTTACATGTTGTTTATACAAAAAAACCTAATAATTTTATTCGGAATCTAATATTTTTTGGGTCGACGACTATACTAGATAAAGTTCAATCATAATAATAGTGATAATAATAAATGAAGAAAATCTTATAATAATCTTTTTTTCTTTGCAAGTATAAATGGATGCCTTAAAGCGTATAAGTTTAAGAAAATAAGGGATTAATTGGCATAAAGAAACGCGAAGCGTGAACCAATGTGATTTCACGTAAATGTCCGATGATAAAAAAAATGATAAAAAATATTTACACATCAAACACATTGCTCCATTCTTCTAACACAGTTGGATTTTTGTTTGCACCAAATTGCTCTTCGATGAAAATGGAAGCTCTGTTTCGCCAAGACAAGTGTTGCTAATAATATCGTCATGCTCAAGAGTATCGACAAGCGAAATCCGTAACTCGTATAATTTGATAGTACAATTTGAATCGTAATTTTTTACTTGTTCTTTTAATTCCCAAACAACGCCGTTCATCGTCGATGAAATATATCGACCTATATCGGGCCCAAACGACGATTCGAATAGTAAATAACCGACACGTTCGAATGGTTCCATGATTTTTTGTATGGTAGATTTTATGCCGGCAGGAGGTGCAAAGATGTACAATCGTAATGGATCGCATTTATGAAATGTCATTTCGATTCCAACTTCAAAATTTTCATTGATCAGAAATTCTTCGTAGAATTTTACAGACATTAAATGTATAACCTTTTTTAATGCTTCGACAAAATTGTTGATTTCTTGTGCAATCATTTTGTGACGTATTGAGAGCTTTGGTATGACTGGCTTTGGTTTTGGTTCTTCAGGTTTTGGTCGTGGTATCATAAAGTAATCTAATTCTTCTTCGAACTCTTGCGGTGTTATCGGTATTAATCCTATTACTGATTAAGTGAAATAATATATAGAAATCCTGTATTAAATTTAAAGAATTCCTTTTATAGAAGATTCAAATTATTCATTTTCCAGCTTTCTCTTTACCTTTATCCGAAGTTGGAACTTTTCCGGTCCTGTAGAATTGTAAGATGTATCGAAAAATGTGTCCATCACGATCAATAAAGTATTCGTTTCCGTTTGTTGGGTGAAGTAGTTCACTATTCCTCTCGTGAAACATTGTCCCAAGCATAGTGTCCGGATATTTTGTCAGTGTCGTTCGACATGTTTCATACTGATTAAAAAAATTTTATTATCTGTCCTCGAATAAATAACCTTGAAGCTGCCAAGAACAAACACATTATACATACTTTGACACCGCCAACATTTAACACTATTCGTTCGTCTGATTCTTTTTGTAGCTCATTAATACAATATAAAGACTCAACAGGCATTTTTTCCGATTTTGGAAGCAAAAGCGAGCGAAGTGCAAAGATAAAATCTTGAAGGAGCTAACGGAAATTCAATAGTAAATGCTTTTTAAAGAATTTTTAGCCGTTTTATGCGTTGTCACTCATTGCCCGTTAAATAAGTCAATAGCCGTTTTCGGACGACGGCAGACGATCTCACGATAACCTTTTCTCTTAATAGAACACAGTTTTAACGTTTTTGTAACTAACCAACAATATTATATGCACGCTTATGGTGTGTGTCCGTCTGTTCGAAATGTATGAACCTTGTCTACCACTACCGCTACTACGTATATCTGCTTTCGACTTGTCATAGAAAGCTTTGGCGTAACCATCTCGCGTTCTAAAATAGTGTAGTGATCGCTCAAGTTACGCCATTGTTCTCTTTATGATGATTGGTGACAATATCGATATAGAATACACGCAGGGTGTATGTCATAATACTACATATATTAGTTTCAACATGAAATCCGGTTTAGACTGAATATTAAAAATCTTTTGCTTTTGCTATCTAATCGTTATCATAACAACTGACCAACCAACAACCCCCTGAAAGACCCCTCGAGTTTTCTCTCTTTTCTCCTAACAAGTCAAATTACATCATTTTTCCCATAAAAAGAACTAAAAATAGACTATAGAAGATATGCTCCTTGTAGCACGTTCGATTGGATGAGGCGCGAAACTTTGAATACCGTCGTCTCTATCTTTAAAACCAAAACATGTCCTGTGCGCTGATTTAATATCACTGAAAAATTGCAGTCTGTCATGCATTCATGCATTTTTTATTTTTATGCTACTTGATCAAATCATTAAAAAAAACAATGCAGTTGTTGGTCATCTTACCTTTCATGTTAATGTAAAACTTGTTTATTAAAAACCTGTTTATAAAGCGAATAAGAATCAGAAGGTTCCATTAGCACTATGGTTTTTCCGAATATTAGCATTTTTTCGTATTATATTTTTTTTCGATCAGGAGCATTTGTACTTTTGTTTCACACTGTTTACTCTCAATGCGTGTCTTTACATACACGTTTTATTGTTCCTCCCGTTATTTGTGTTCTTTGATATTGACTTTAACTTTTGCCATTTTAATTGTCCACTGTTCTGATAATAAGGAGAAAATGAAACGGGCAAATTTTTTTTAAAATCTCAAATGAAGATACCTCATTTAAACAAGTATCTTTGGTAAGTCAATTCACAAAATTTCGGCGAAATATCGCCTAACCGAGTGTATTTATGATAAATACATGAACTTTTTAGATGTAAATTGCATGGCGGTAGAAGTTTTCATCAGCGTGTACTGCCCTATGAGATGAGTTTCCCCTGCAAAAACTTTGTAATCCATTACAGATTACAGGTAGTTACAGTTAATTACATCACCTATTTTAACGAGGAATATGATACAGGACATATACACAAATCACAAATTACAAGTAGTTACAGGATCTTTGTAATGGTATATATAATTCACAATAAAGTAGGTGGTGTAATTTGTAACGGATTATAGGGTTTTGCGGGGGAAACATCTATAAAATTACAAGGAGAAATTTTTTATAAAATCAGACCAAGTAAACTTGATGTCACACTAAATTTCCGAGTTCAATTTTAGTAAAGTTAGCTGCTAACATGAACTGGTAAAATAAAATGTTTCTCTCACATGCCTTATGAGAAATTCACCCAATAAAAATTACAGATATTTCCCTGCAAAACCCTGCAATCTGTTACAAATTACAGGTAGTTGAGTTAATGGGGATTACATACACCAATTATAAATTACAGGGTCTTTGTAATTGGCATATATAATGCCCTGTACCATGCATGTAATTCTCGGTAAAGTAGGTGGTGTAATTAACTTTCATAACTTGTAATTCGTAACGGATTACAAGGGTTCTGCAGTGGGGGGGGGATTTCTTATAGGGATGTATTAACTAAACTGAAAGTAATCATATTGATCTAACTAATCACATTCTGATATTATTATTAGAAACATCATATTAATGTTTTCAAAAAAACAATCAATAACTAATGATGAATATTGGAAAATCCATTATGCTTCGTGATGTGATTGGAACCATCATAGTATTTAGGAAGAAACTGTGGTGACAAAAGTCACATCTGATTAAAATGGCTGGCAAGTAGTGATGGGAAAGTTCAAAGTGTTTGCACAGTTTCGCTTACGGCTAATATATGGCGTGACCCCAACTAATAATCAACTTTCTTTTCATATTCTGCTGATATAGAGATATACAAGACTTTGAAAAACATTAGCGCAACATGGTGGTGGTCATCAAATAAGTACGGGCGTATTTGTACGACAAGTGCTTGCGCAAGATAAATAAATTTAAACGCTGGATGTGCCAGTCTTTTACTTATGATTAGATATAATCCTTGAACACACTGGTGAGTTTTCACATGCACGAATTTGGGCATCTAAAAAGAACAATTAAAAAATTATGTCTACAATTTAGTTGTAAAGCTTCATGACACAATCCATACCTTGAAAATCGAGCATTGTCAATTTGAACTCGAGCATTAGCTTCTGTAATGATGATGTTGAAGTTGTAAAGACGGACTATACTAATAGCGTTCTTCATGTACTTTTCCCGCAAAACTGTCACGAAATGTGGCGGTTACAACAATTTTCCGCGCTAATTGAAGGTTAGTATTAGGATTAGAATCAAGGTTATATGTAAAATTGTCTTCCCTTCATTTTTTATTAGTGCTCCAAATTAAGATTAGGTATCTGTTTCCCGTATTTGCATTTTTCACATTTTTAATTTTCTTGTGTCGGATTGTTTGTCAGGTCAGGCTGATCGAAAATTTGCACATTCTTGCTAGTTTCGTGACAATTTCGAAGGTTATGCAGGGGAAGTCATTTTTCCCGGCCTTGCGCCTTCGCTGCAAATGAGAGGGTATTTGGTGACGACGTTAGAATCATCAAAGGTGATAGATATAGCAATAATATTCGCTAATTCAGAAACCAGCAACCACACTAGATTAATAATACCGTAGAGCATTGCCTACAGTATCCCGTATTATTCAGAAATACTTGATTTTGACATTGATACTATTCATGGTTTCAGCGATTTCATTGGTGGAGAATGGGGGTAACGGGGGTACTATAGGCAGGATTCTACGGTAAGCAAAGAAAGACAATTCCAAAATATTTTACTTTCACAAGAAGCTTCACTTTTTTTTCGTTGTTTAATAATTTTCTGTTTTGATTTTATCGAAAAGTAGATAAAAATAAAAAAATGGGAAAATGTTGGCATCATCAATTTAGCTTTAAGCCATGGCTATGACCGACGACATACACCATATTTCATTGATGCAGTTCTTTGGATATTTGGAAAAACCATATATAATAAGTTGTGAAAACGAAGTGAAACCTAGTCCTGTCATCATATTGAATTTCAATCAGATCTTATTGCGCGGAGAACTTTCACCTTCCTAGAAGAAAAAATGAGAAACAGTCTATTGGCTATTGTTTACGATCCGAAATACCTTACCTCATCATTGTACGTAACGATAATTCATTTTTTACATTATAAAAACATTCCGATCCCTTTACAAGCATAAAAATCTCATTCATGTAGCATCTCCATTTAGGGTTGGTAAAAGTCCTAATCAGTCCCAAGAAGATTACTTGTATGTTATTAATCAAACTTGTTTGAAAAGTTTTGTTAATTAAAAGTTACTTATAAAAATAATCAATAAATTGGTTAAGGCTGCGAAAAAAGTGCCTTGATGAGTTACTCGCTCGATTAATGCGTTGAGGAGAGATCTGAAGAGAGGCTTCCAAATGGTTAATTATTGGTGTTTTCGTCGTATGAATAGCTATCGTAAAACATGTATTTTAGCATTCTTATGGAGTTACCCAAATACAAAAATTACGACATAATTGACGCGGCAAAAAAGAAGTTTTATTATTACGTCTGCATAATCCATGGGGAGGTAGAATGATTATTTTTTATAAGTAACAAAACAATTTAAACAAGTTTGATCAATAACTTACAAGGAAAAATTATTTTTATATTTTAATTTTCTTGGGACTGATTTGGATTTACTAGGACCTTTACCAACCCTAAATGGAGATGCTACATAAATACCATCTCTCATCTGTGACGAATGCGCAGAAGGAAATGCTTGACATCAATTGCTTGCTAATTTGCGAACTTGATGGCTAACGGCCTACAAAACTGAAATATTATAGATGATGATCTCAGGCTTTGTATTGTCAATCAGTAAGCTCCTCTACTGCATCGTCCCGCCTTCCAATTATGGCTTTCTTTTGGTATTCGTGTGAAAGGAATACAGCTCATCTGTGATAAGCTCATCGATAGAATCAAAGACTTGATGCAGAATTTGTTCGTGCAGGTCCGCAATAGCCAATGAGAATTTCGAAAATGGACATAGATCCCCGCACTAGTAATGAAATACTATTCTTTTGAAACACGTTAATAACAAATGCATCTAAAGGACAAATTGACATAATCAAGAGTTAAGCCACACTGACCTGCTTCTTCCCGTAGTCGTCACTTTGTTCGCATGCTCTGACACCATTGCCTTTTTCATCAGTCTGTTTTTGATCTGCGTTATTCAGCTTAGTGTCCTTCATTGGTGGCATATCCTGTAGTGAAAATTCCCAAAACTTTTGAGCATACCCATTGCGAACATTTTAATTTATATGGTTTTACGTCACTGTGTTTATTTCTTCGTGATGACTGAGCTTTCTCCTGCATCCAAATTTCTCAGTCTCGTAGAATCTTTGCTTTCTAATATGACATCGAGAATCCATACTTTTGTATCACTGATCATTGGCCAAACTGAGCACATTCTGATATTTTGCTGTAAATATATATCAAAAGAATGTTACTTATTGCCTTATTGTGCGATAATTTACTTCTCTTTAGCTTGAGAACAAGAGAAATAAATAGGAAAAATTGCGAGTATCTCGTCATCTTTTTCATTTCTTCTTTCAGATTTTTCATTAAATGAATAGACGACGACGATCCGATTGCTGCCAAGGAACTACTTGCCTAAACTTAGTAAGCTTATTTGATATGTGCATAATGACGATCGAACGGAGATGTGAAAGTTCACTTTTCCTATTATTGTGGATAAAATACTTCTTTTATAATCAAATCTTTCTAAAAATAAATATCTATTTATAAATGATGGATTATGGAATCTAACACTAACGATTTATTGGTATTAGTATATGTATCCCAAAATTAAATTTTTTTCCAAATGTTTTTCCAAAATTTTAACAGCGAGTCATCAAAATTATGAGCAAAATAGTTAAGTTACAAGTCAACAATCCAATCATTACCAGATGTTTCAAAATTTATCCAATATATGATTAAGTTTAATAATATTATATATGTTAGATTAAGTAATTAGTTATTGCTAAATTGGATAATCGAGTTCTTATTACTGATTAGATTTTTTACAACCTGTTTGATGATATGATTTAACAATGAGAGATTAATTACACAGAATACATCAAATCAGCAAATTTAGATTGATAATTTGATAAAGACAAATCCAATTATGCAGTAAAAATTGGTGAAAATACGTAACATGCATGCATATGGTGAATCAAACATTGCAAATACAAAATGTGTGTCGCAAGTTTGAAATCAACGTAATTTTTTTAATCACGCACCATCCCACAATCATTGTTGGGTGAGTCACCGACCACTTACACACCGCTAAATGTGGCTAACAATATAGAGAAGAAACAATTATACGAAATGCATAGCCACATAAGAAAAATATCCCAATTCGGTTTATGTCTTTTATTACGATGAGTTATGAATTCGAAAGTGATACTGTATATACATGTACATAACATGTAACAATGGATTTTGTGACGCATTTCGTACAATGCATTGTTTCATGGATTAATTGTATCGATGAATTATTATTAACGAGAGATTACGAAATAAAAGCTTGACAATTTTGCAAGAACGCGTTCAATTGTTCAATATGACTCTTTATGCAACCATTAATAAATAGTATGTATATTGTAAGAGGGGATCACAAAGAATCAACTTTTATGGAATCAATAAATTTCGCATTCAATTTTCAATGAGAATCTCATACATTAAAACGTGAATTAAAAAACTATTCTTAGTAATGTATCATATAATTATGTGAATATCCAGAAAAAGAATTCGAACAAAAACCTGTTCTCGAACTAATGGTGACATTTGATACCACGTTTTTTCACGTACTCATTAATATCTATTAGTTCATTTTCCACTTTAAATTAATTAAAGCTACACTTGGACAAAATTAATGAATGCAAGAACGAAACACACACACAACGCACAAATACCTCCTTTTTTTCTCTTCTATTGGATGATGTTAGTGTCTCCAAATAGACACTACATTATGCGGTGGCTTTCTCTGGGATTTTATAATTCCATGTAAAATTGGTTTTTATCAAAGCAACATGTAAATTATATTAATTATACTATACTATATATATTATCGTTATGATATATAATCGTTATCGTTACGATATACTATCACTATGCTTTATTCTATTTCACCATATGATCCAAATGTCATCATCACCTTTATAAAGCAATTTAAATCATCCCAAAAAGAGCCGTACAAAAATAAATTTCTTTTTTTAGCATTTGGATCTAAAGTATGAATTTTTTTCTGCCAAATCAACCATTAAAATCTTGAACTCGTGCTCAAGTTGACATTTTTTTTGCCCAGTAAAAAGTTATCTCCCAAAAAAGATCAATAAAAGCTGTTTTTCAACCAATAGACAATGGAAATTCTTCCCATTTTCGATAAATTATTATCCACTTTCATCCAAAATCAAATAATAATCTGCATATGTATATTGATATACATGTATATCTATTTTGAGACTTCCTTTTTGTGTCACGATTTATTTACAGAGAGGAAACACAGCCATTAATAATAGTAAATAAATAAATTACATGAAAAAATGTTACATTGGTTTGGTTGAAAATGCTAATTGAACATCAATGACTAAAAGCTAAGAGGCAACGGGATTGCTCATCTTTCTTGTCCGCTATTTACGAAAACCAAATATGTTACGATAGCAATTTTTTTGAATTTTATAACGCAAAAACACTAAATATTAGGGATTAAACTCGAAAAACTTTTAAACGAAAATACTATTGCTTTACATTAATCCATAATTTATTAGTAGTAATACTTATCATTATCACATACGTATACATTTTCACCTCGAAAATATTAATCTGAACAGACTTTTATTTATATTATTTAGCGTTAGTATATTCAATTATATCGTGACAACTGGAATCAGCCAATCATCCTATTAATTAATCATGAATGAAAGAAAAAACATAACAGACATAACGAAACCCGTAAAGACAGATAGAGATATCAAAATTGAGACCGCAAAAGTAAAGCAAGGAAGCGGTAAAAAGCCAATATATACACATCAACAGCAAGGACACAATGAAGAAGCGATAGCAGTCACAACAATTCAAACACCAATTACGACCATCATAGAAACGATTGCTACAACATCGACACCAACTACAGAAGAAACCATTGAATCAAAGACATTAGATCGAATGAAACAAAAATCACCAAACTACAATTTACCACAAGGGACAACACAAGAGATTGAACCAATATCAATAATCCCAGTCATAGCGATGATTAAACAAGGAATACAGAAACCTCCATTATTAACAAATCACTCATCGGCTGAGCATTCAGTCGGAAGAGATTCAATAAAAATTGCAAATTTACCCACTGAACAAAGTGTAAAAATTGAAACCACTTTTGATACAACAACTGCTACAATTCGATCGCCGGCCGATATAGAGAGTGGTATTGTTGTAGACCGCGATGTATCAAATAATCATCGTGTTGCTTCGGCAAATATAAGTTCAAAAAAAGGATTCTTTAGAAGGAATCCAATTAAAACGATATTAATTGCAATAGTTATTGTTTTATTACTGGGTGCATTGGCTGTTTTAATCGTTGGTAAGAGATGTTCTTTCTTATTTGATATAATATATAACTCTATTTTATTGGCAGACACATGTGATCTAATTAATTGTCTTTTGTCTTTAAATTAGCAACAACAAACGGATTCTAATAAAAATAACCTTGCATTCCATAAAGAAAATTACCCGAAAAAGAAATCAATTCCTCAAAAAATCCTTTTCCTTCTTCCCGTTCTCATAATTTAAAAATTATCCTGGATCATATTATACTTTTATTACGAAATATTTTGTATTTTATAATGTACATATTTATATATATATTTATCAAAATTGGTATTCAAACATCAAAGCAAGATAAGAATAACACATATATCTATAGATGCATCTATAAATGCTTTGTTTTTGATTTTCGAGAAACATCTTTTTAATTTTCGATAAATATCATATCTTTAGCATCAAAGAAATAAAAAACTCATAATCTTTTTACAAATACCCATATATTTTCAGTTTCCATATCGGTATATCCAAGGAGAAATTACGTCATCAATTCAGTAAAAAAAGTGCATTACGTATGTACTCGCGAACAACAAGTAGGTGTATGATTTGCATTGTGCATACATGGGCAAAATCTAGGTTTAGGGTTTGTAAAACTATCACTTTTCTATGCATGTACCCCCTGAAACTTCGGGCGTATCTGTTTCGCTTATACTGCACATTGTCTGGGTAGAAGAATACAGTAACAGTGAAGAATAACGCGCGTGTGCGAGAGAGAATAGGCAGCTATTTTGATTATAAGAAAATGATGTCCAAGTTAATAATAGAACTTTAAAAGTTCCAGCTTTTGTTTGAAGTACGAGAAAGTTAATAATAGAACTTTAAAAGTTCCAGATTTTGTTTGAAGTACGAGAAAAGGAATTAATGATGCCTTGATTAAAGATACATCACGTAAAATAGTTTCCATAACGACTCGATCAAATAATTTAAAGTACATGTATTTACCAAAGTAAAGAATTGCCATTTTTATTATTGACATTAAAATAAAATCCATAATAGGATAAAATGACGTAACTAAATACGTAAACAGCGGAATACATGCAGCATCTTTTTGTGTCATCATTTGATTCGTCTTTTAAATTTATCTGGCTAATTTACGAAGACCTAAAGGAATTGATGAGGCCTGGATTTATCAGAGGAAGCTTTAAGTGAAATAAAAAATTTACAGAACTACCTGCCAATTATTTGAACATTCTCCGAACCTTTGAGAAAAACAATGTCATCCGTGGACTACGTCTTTTTGATCTTGTTCCTCGATTTGGACTTCAATGATATTCCACAACTTGCCAGTCGTTGGCATATTGAAGATGCAGTTTGGAGATGGTACGAGGAACAATTGAAGACAAGTATTCAATATTGTTGTTATATTGAAATGGGTTAGCATTTTAGTTAGCAGGAGATGAGTAGACATTTCAGGAAAAAAGTAGTTGGAGATGGCAGGATTTGTTTGGGGCCTGTAATTAGCCACAATTCAATTTCATACGCCGCAACTAACCAGCCATTTTTAATGGGGAAAGGGTGGTAAAAAAGCAGGTATGAAATTTTAGCATTATTTATTAATATTCGTACTTCTGATTTTCAAACATTCAATATGTTCATAATTTTATGGTGCAAAATTAAATTTAATAATTATGTTAGCAAACAAAAGTACTGATATATAGCATACAAATTATTAGGGTTGGTAAAGTCAGTCTTGGTCCGGTCCCGATCCTTGGACTGACCTATGGACCGGGTTCATACATGATAAGTCTCAGGGCTTGGTTCTATCTAATCAAATTCGATTAAAAATGCTAATAGCAAGCAGACAATGTAATAATATAATCAATCGGGGAAATAAACTGTATGTTAATTAAGTAAAATTACATTTAGTTTATAGAATCTACACTTTTTACGATCTTTACTAGCCAACACATCCTTATATTCACCGATCCAGCTTCTTCCATACAACAATACTCTCGCAGTTTCTAAGATTACCCGATTTCGACTTTAGTAATTGTGTTGTGGCTTATTCACAAGCCACATTTGTTGATTGTTAAATAACCCCTCGACATCAATGAAAATGAAAGCGTCGACAATTATAACACATATTGTGACCGAAATTTGTTTTTTCTTTATGTAATCTTTAGGTGTTCCTGAATCCCGATAAAGAAAAATCGAACATCTGGTTGTTTTTTCAAGAGGCTCTAATCGGACAAGTGATTTGTTACAATAAAAATATTAAATTCGAGAAGCAATAATCATTAAATTATTTCTTATCGGTATATTTAGCAATGCTGTGTTCGTCCGTTGCAATTTGTGAAGCATATAATACAGTGAAACTTGTCTAATTAATATCTGCATAAATTAATAACCTGCCTTATTTCCTGGTCCTGAGCTCGGGACTTATGAACAAATTAATAATATCGTTATTAATTAATGAAATTTGGAGAACAGAGTTGACAATTGGTCCATTAACAATCATGAGTAACGTATACATTTATCGAAACAAATCACTTACAGTAACGATAACGATAATAATATCTTCAATAAAAACATTATCATCGGAAATCAGATGGCTAGTAATGTTTCCTGGCAATGACGAAAACAATTAAGATTCACTTCAGAAGTGAGGTTTTCATGCCAAGCAGGAATTAGAATGAATCTCCATCGCTTTCTAAACTTTCCAGTATTTTGCGAGTAAATATATGCGTCAGAATTTGGGGGGGGGGGGAGAGAGATAGAGAGATTGTTCAAAGAAATTAAACTTTAAACCAGTTATATTGGACTATAGCGGGGATCTCGAAAGGTGAGTGAGTTATCCCAGTAACGCATCTATATTTTACGTAGAGGATCAGGACATTAATTCTGAGTATCGCGATAATTCAATGTATAGTCTAATTATTCTTTTATAAATATAATCACCCAACTTATTTCTTATTTCCGAATTTTTTCTGTGTGAAATTTAAGTATTGAAATGTTGAATATAAATGAGGTGCTTTTGTTTTTATAATGTTTGTTCTTGTTCTCAAGATTTATGGTGCTGTTTTATAAAATTACACTTTAAAATTTTACTTGCAAACTATTTTTATTTTAAATGCATGCAGTCATACCTATCATTGTATAATTATACCCTCTCTACAACAATACCTTTTATTAGTTCCAACTAATATGAAGCATAGAAAATTTGACTCACATACAGTCACAAACTCTTTTTCGGACCCGAGGGGTGATTATATGGAGGAACGAGTGTATTCAATTTAAATTATTATTTAATTTGTATGGTTCTGGTGTTAATTTAAGGCCATTTTTATACATATGAACTAGGCTTTAATCTAAAATACACCAAATTGATTATTACAGTCAAAGTCCTTTGCAACGGCGGCGGCGCTGTATACATCGGATTCGGTTTATACCGTATTAATTGATATCCCAATTTTTACGATTTTTAACTATTTAAAAACTCACTATATACCGAAGTTTATAATATAAGCATTATATATCGGCCCAAAAGTGCCAATCCAATGCGGCCGTTGTAAAAGACTTTGACTGTACAATTATTTAAAAACATTAAGTTAAATTACATGTATTTTATATATTTTTATTAATTAATTTCTAAATGAAAAGTTTTATTTATTATATGTTATAAATAACATGCGTTTCTAGTAAATCAACGTTGTATATTCTTCCCGTGAATCGAATTCAATTCCACTAATATTTCTTACGATTTCTTCGAACCACCATTTTTCTTCATTCCATGTGGAAATTGTAGTGGTGAGCCCAGGATCAATAAATGTACCAGTCGACGCTCTTTTCAAATCGTCTTCATAATGTTCCTTAGGTTCAGACATTTCGTCATCAAAAGTATGATAAGTACTATTAGTTCGCTGACTATTATTATCATCACTTTCGTTATTATCTAGATTATTACTGTTGTGATAATTTGGTTTTAATCCATCTTCGAATGAATTCTTTGTTTCAATTTCTTCGACTTTGACATTATCACATTCATTTGAGAATTGGCTTGATATTTCGTCCGTCACGATGACAACTTCTTCGACCACTTCCTGCTGTGCAAACACCATGAAATCTAACCCATTCGTAGGAAATTTCTCAATTGTCGATAAAGAGTCGGATCTTAACTTGGTAACATTGTGATATAATGCTTTATGTACAACTTCACCGAGCTCTTCATCCACCTTTCGATGCCATGCTTGTTGTTTATATGTCGATGTTTGATAAATAACATCTTGATAAGTGTGAAACATTGGATAAGGCACGAATGTAACATCACCAGAAGATAAATTTGGTCGTTGATCATGTGATAAGAGAAGCGTGAAGAGGATTAATTCCGCGGTGCCTCCTTTTTGTGGAATACGGATCTCGGATATTTGTGGGAATAGTAAAGCGTTTTTGGATATTTTCTTTTCGTCCACTGTCGAAATAAGTTGATTTAAAGATTGTAAAAATTCAAGATTAAAGTCCTTTAATTCAGGTAATGACAGATGATTATCAATGGTGGTTAGCGTTAGGTTTTTTTTCCCTTTTAGATCATCATTTGAACTTTCGCGAGATACTAATGTACTAGCCGCCCTTGATGAAAAGGTGGTTCTTATTGGACTGATTGGAGGACTTAATAGCGAAGTTATTTTAGTTGGAGAATTCGGTGGTAGTAGATCATTGAGATTTAGAAACGGCACATTTTTCGTTACTTCCGGAAATTGACGACCTAACCGCGTAGAAAATTCCATCAAATTTACGCCTGAAATATGATTTATATAATTTTTTTCAATATCGCTCAATTTTTTGAAACTTGGTAATTGCGCTACCGGGATTTGATGACGAGCATCAGTAGAAACTAACACTTGAAGTCCTTTAACACGTGGTTGTATGACAAGTAAGCCGGTATACACGGAATCCACTTGTAACTGTGGTTTCTGACCATCATTAGCATATATTCGCATTGAATCAAGATAATCGTGCATAGTATCATTATCAACTCGAATATTGGCGGCCATTAAAGGGGCGACAAGATGAGGTTCAACAAATCGATACCCTAATCTATGAAAATGATCTTCTCCCCCCTCTGTGACCTTTTGGACTAAAAATAACATTTGTCCTTTACCCAAAAACTCGTCAGCTCGCTTGTTTAACTTAATCTCGTCGCTTTTATCGAGGTTGAAAGAAATATCAGAGTTTTTCGAGGATACAAATGATAGTTGTGGCGAGTATTCCAAGTTTCCCGTATTGAGAATATTGTCGTATAGAATGCCTGATTGCTCCAATGGAAGTTCCAATGATTCGGCGAGGTGCTTTGCATTTATTATGAATTGTTCACGGAAAAGTATTGGATACGGCACTTTACCAATGTTTGTTTCGTGGTTGTCGATTGCTTCGATGTGTCTATCAATCGTAGGTAACCTGTAATAAAGGTAATTTATTGATTACTTGACGTATTGTACCGACGACTTTGAGATTAATGTATCTTACCATTGTTCGATGCTCTTCCAGTCATGAGTTAAACGATAGAGCCATTGGAAAATTGGATGAGAGATTGTGAATTCGTCTTCCAAATTCTATTGATTCATGATAATTTCTTTAGTAATAATAAGATACAGTCAAAATACCTGATATGAAACATAAACTCACTTGTTGACTATATTCATTTGTGATTTTTCGAAAAGGGATAAATCCTTCGTTTGACACCAATATTGAGCCTTTCCCATTATAAATTGCCACGCCCAATACAACTTTTTGGGCATGACGCTTTGTCTTTAGATCAGCCGCGCGTGCAATAAAAGTTATGCTAACAAGAATAACGATCGCAATAATTGAAGCCATAGCAACCACTAAGAAACGAAGATTTTCATTGTTAACTCGACGAGTTTGATTAATCGCAAACGAATTAACAAAGTTTTTTTTCTTGTTACTTACGCCCAAGAATTAAATAGCTCGATATCTCAGGCTGCGCATTCACTTCTGTCGCCTTTAAGTAATAACGAGTTCCCACGGACGCTGTATAATGCATTCCGGTGACTGCTATTGCCATAATTGATGCGCATCCTAATCGCTATCAGACGAGATTAAATTTAATTTTATTTCGTTAAACAATTTCATGCTCATCTACAATTACCTTGTACCAATCACTTCGCCATTTTGCTCTCATAGCAAAAAAGAGGTATAAACTAGCATTTGATGCGACCAATGCTATGATAGTAGCAGCAATAAATGTTCCAATGTTGTACTGAACATCATATTGAATAACGGCCAATTGAATGCAGAAATGCATTAATACTATACAAAAATTAAATATAATTTAAAGTTTATTCGTTAACTGATATTACATTTATATGAGAAATACCCTTACCGATATTTAAACCAGCAATTGTGCCTCCTATTAAAATTCGACTAAGATTGACTTTTGGTTGTGAGCCTATTGCACAAAAAGCCAGGATCAAGACTACAATAGGAAGAACAAGTGATAAAATAGTAAAACTAAAAAATTAAAGACATTAATTCACCAATTATTTTTAACCAAAGGTAAGTACATAAAATTCCGTAACAAAATTTACCGAGAGTCATAGTTAATGTCAGCTTGCGTTAGAGGATCTCCGTCATCAAGAACCAGTGCCTTCATCCCAGTAAAATGAGTCGCCCACATCCCGACAAATCCCATCGAGGAAGCTGCACCAAGTAACAGCAACCAATTAATTGCACCAACATGCGAAGTACGTCTTCCCAGTAATTCTAGAGCGGTGCACGCTCCTAAAACTGATACAAAAAAAGATAAAACGGCTATTCCAGGATCTGTACTTTGGTTTATTTCTTTGGAATTTGTTGATGTGGGATTCATCAGGGATTATTTTACTAACTACTGTCTTTTTATTAGCACAATAAAAAGAAATAATGTATTTATTATCAGAGAAATTAAGAAAAATAAAAAAAGAGAAAAATATGTTTATGTATAAAGTTGATTGATCGGTTCGTATAAGTACACGCGAGTTAATTGTGTTACGAACTGAAAAAGGGAATCGGATATAATGATGTATAATAAAACCAGGGAAAAAATCTACGTATTCTCACGATAAAAAAGAAGGCAACGAGAAAAAGGAAAGAAGCTGCGATATGGTATATAGTAACCATACGTGCTTGAAAGTCTTTATATGTCAAATTTTAAAAAATGTGCACTAGAAAATGTAACATTACAAACATTTTTGATCTAATACTATTCACTATATGATTATCACAATAGCTACATGTACATGTATAATCATTTAATGGAAAACAGACTCTATTATAAGCGAACAAATAGAGGTTCGAAATACATATAAGAATTCGGAAAAACTACCGTATACATAGATATCGATTGGTGTTTGTGTTTGTTAGTTACACAACTTCCTTTCATACGCATTTAATCATATCGATATGTACATGTAAAATGCGTAAAGTTGATCTATTTCGTCATAGCTTCATTCAGTCATAATGATAAGAATCGTATAAATGTAACGAACGGCTAATGTTTCTAGATCTTTATTTCAATGAATCTCGTAAATTGAATGAATTCAGCCCATGACATTCGTTATGTCGTGTATTCAAAATCGATAATTTACTTTTATTGCTAACGCGAGTCCGCAACTAAAGTACTTTTGAATGTCCTGTGTTAGTACACCAACTTAGAGTAGTAAGTAACACAGCTATCTCTAATTCCTGCAAATTTAAAACATTTGTGAGACTCTCGCTGTTATCTAATTCTACCGCTATTGGTATTCATATAAAATTATTATGTCAGTTATGTGGTGCATTTTATTAAGCATATTTACATAGAATATTACGTACATGTTATTCCGAGATTTTTCAACCTAAATTCCATTTAACATAATAATAAAAAGCGTGGGTTGCCATTGCACATTTTCACCAGACAGTTGAATCGGCTACTTTAGGATGCAATATTTTGACGTCCAATGATCCGATTTGAGCGAAAATACTACCATTCGATTCGTCTGGTCGAGACCAATCAAATGGTAGTATTTTCGATCAAACTGGGTAACTGAACGTTAAGAATAAGCTTATTGTATATGATCACAGCAGACTTGACAATTTGATCTAGGACTTTTGTTTGGTATCAGTGTTGTTCATTAAGGGACAAAAATTCAGTTTAATGATCTTTCACTCTAAATTTTTAAATAAAACTTTAACGAAGTACAACACCTGTCTACATAAACCTTTCTGTTACTGTCGGTTACCAAAGAGGCAGGAGATTATTAGAGCGATTAAAATATGCATTATTGGTGCATATGTCTCAAAACCCAATAAAAAAACAAATACATGTACATGTAGTTGGGTATACGTATAGATAATTCTTCAATTGTCATTGGGAAGAAGATAGTTTTTGAATTTTATTCATTTTTTTTAACATCAATGGTAATATACATCTCAACGTTCAGTGATTAGGTAATCGGTAAAATTCTGCAATCCTCCTTCATTCATTGAAGAACCTGTTAGTATCTGACATCTATATAAAATCAATGTCTTAAGTTTTTGAAAAAATAAAT